AGTGTGAAGTGTGAAGTTTGGAGTGTGAAGTTTGGAGTGGGAAGGAAGCAGTGAGAAGTGTGAAGTGTGGACTGTGAAGTGTGGAGTGTGAAGTGCGAAGTGAGAAGTTGCAAATCACAAAGAAGTGTGAAGTTTGGAGTGTGAAGGAAGCAGTGCAGTGAGAAGTGAGAAGAAGTGTGAGAAGTGTGAAGTGTGTGAAGTGTGGCTGTGCAGTGTGGAGTGCGAAGAGCGCAGTGTGAAGTGTGAAGTGTGAAGAAGTTTGGAGTGTGAAGGTGAGAAGTGTGAAGAAGTGTGAAGTGTGGAGTGTGAAGTGCGAAGTGCGAAGTTTGGAGAAGTTTGTGGAAGCAGTGTGAAGTGTGAAGTGTGGACTGTGAAGTGTGAAGTGTGAAGTTTGGAGTGTGGACTGTGAAGTGTGAAGTGTGCAGTGTGAAGTGTGAAGTGTGAGGTTTGGAAGTGTGAAGGAAAGCAGTGAGAAGTGAGAAGTGTGAGAAGTGTGAAGTGTGTGAAGTGTGGAGTGTGAAGTTTGAAGTCGGAGTGTGCAGTGTGAGGTGTGGAGTGTCGAGGGAAGGACACGGTCGGGACAGGGTGTCTTTGAACTATAGGTCATTTATGTTTGGGAAACTTCCGCCGCCGGCTTGCCCGGGTCTATGTTACCTAGAGCTATACCCTCACGCAGGCCGCTGCCTTAGATCTTGGCAGAACTCCTGCGCTGCGGCGCTGGTCGCTGGCTTGTTATTGGGTGCCGGGCGCCCCGGGGACTCCCAGCTGCCACAACTGGGCTGCTAAAGTTTAGTGGCTGTGGGTCGAAAGTATTGACTTTTGACACTTTTTTTGGGTTATAGAAAATAATCATCAGGATGGATGTTGTTAGCTTGATTGATTATACCAACCGTAAAAGCTTCAAGAGTGTGAGATGCGAAAAAATGGCCAGCTAAAAAGTGAGTCTAGGTACCCAACTTGGCGCATGACATGTTCTCAGGTTCTGGCAGGCCCACCTGCCGGGCCCTACATGGCACATGTGAAGGATGTCCAGACACTCAGATTCCCATGGTGTCCGCCGTGGAGACACTGACAGCTGACAACTGCAGACAGCAGATGTGCAAAGGCTGATGTGCGGGAAGAGTTCGATGGTATTCACGTCAGGAAGAGGTGCCAGATGATCTTTTTGAAGTGTAGCGGCTAGCATGGTACTTTTAGTAAAGGTTGCAACTCTTTTATGAACCTTCATGATTTATAATTTATATGATCCTTATGATCCTCATTCGCTTTACATGCAGGGCGGTACAGGACGGAGACTCCGACTTGTGAGACGTGGCAGCTTCCTTCTTCATTCTGAGCGTGTCAGATTGCAATGTGGTAAAGCCAACAATAAACGATCCCCAATGACTTACCAGAAATGGGCAGCAAAAAACAATTCCCCAAATGGTTGAATATTTCTACAGTACAGTATATATTTCCATAATGACTAGTGTCATTGTCAATATCAGTATCATTATCATTGTCATCCGCACGATCATAGTACTACTATTATTGTTATTATTGTCATTATTATCATTATTGCCATTAATTATGATAACAATAGTAGTATTACTATTAATTATAGTAGCATACTACTACGACTACTACTACTACTACTACTGCCATTATTATTACTAGTACTATTGGCTTTAGCACCTTAGTAGATGGCTGGATGCCCATGCAAAGTCGTGGGACCGAACGTTCCAGGGACCTGAAGCGATGTTTCGAAACACTGAAGCAGGGCTTGTTATTCGTTGGAGAATCAGAGCCGTGTATGTATGTATACAATTGTATATATGTATTATATATAATATGATATGTATATATATATATAATAATATATATATACATATCATATGATATATATTATTATATATATATATATATAAATATCTATATATATTATACATGGTGTGTATATATACATTTGTATGTAGTAGCTGCGGGAATGTTTGTACCATTCATTGCATATTGTAGGAAAGATTGAATTCGTTGTGGCAAGCAAAAACCATCCAAGAAATCGGAGGAACATGTGACTTGCGTATTGCAGGCTAAGACTCGTTTGGAGTGATGTCTGAGTGAGTCTTTCTGCATCAAGTCATCAGAAGCAGATTTGCTACTCGCATGCTTTTTGTGAAACCAGTTCTGAAGCAGCATGAAGGAGCCCGTGTGAAGTAACTTGGGAGGAAAGGTGCGGAAACATCTCAGTTTCCACACCAAAAGCAAGGTTTTTGTCTTCCACTGGTTAGATTAACATTTGGTTTCATTTTCAAGACACAAACTTCTCATCATTCGTCCATGGAGAATCTATCAATTTGCAGAAAAACGCATGCCTTTGTGAAAAAACGCCTGGGATGGTGCAATGGTGAATGGCATCTGCTGCAGATACGTCTGAATGGCAGGCCAGTTGGACAACCATACTTTTCAGATGTTTTCCACTTGTTACACGTTGATTTGGTTGATAGTTAGGTCATAATTCGGCAGAAATGGATGGAATTGTTCTTCGGCACCCAGAGAGGAATCATACAAACATATGAAAGATACCAAAAAATCCAGTGGAAGCGACTCCTCTAACATAATTCCCGGCCATTTGCCTTGGCATTGGAGGTGGCTGGAAAGAAACCCGGGAAACGCAGGAAACCTGCTGCAGGCAGCACTGGTTGGAACGAGGTGTTCAACCTTGAAGCCTCCATTTCCGTGTCAAAATTATGGGAACACCCCATCGAATACGGTTTCAAACATCCCTCCCCAAGAATCCAACAACCATAATTAGGGGTAAATCCCCACTTTTTTCCCACTTTTTTTGGACCCAAATATGGTTGGTCAACATATCCCCTCGAAATGGTGGGTTCCATACCCCCCCTTGCTGTGACAAACGAAGGTCATAACCACATTGTGGAGATCACGGCGCAGGTGGGGATACTCCCAAAAAATATCTGAGACTACCCTCTGGTAATTTAACATAGCTATTGAAAATGGCCCATTTATAGTTGATTTACCTATTAAAGATGGTGATTTTCCATAGCTATGATAGCTATGTTAGTTTACCAGAGGGTATATGGACCAGTCGAAAATTCATGGTGTTGTGTGGGATAGAATGGGATGATTTATAAGTGGGATGTATCACAGACAAGGTTCTTGTTTTTGTTTGTCTCAAAACTGAGGATATCTGCATATTTTATGGCAATTTTGATGGGACGTTTATGACAAACCATGTTTTTTTTTTTTCTTTTCTGTGCCCAATTTTCATGTGGATAGGACGTGCGGCTCGCGTTTGATCTCCCAAGTTTGTCTGAGGGCTATGCAGTTCCTGAAGGCCCTGCTGATCCAGCTGTGGTCACACGTGTCTCAGCTGCCGGATATGGGGATGGGTCAAGACCAATGATATCCCCATGGCCATGGGTGGATGATGATGATGATGATGATGATGGTGGTGGATGAACAGTTGATGAACATCCATTCACCAGCTGTGACACCACCGGGATCTTGCTCCGCGGCCATATGAGCCCAGGCACTGTGGCTCGTGTGAAAGAGAAAGCCGAGCCGGGTGACCCATGGTGACTGATGGTTGGCGAATGGCTCTTGATTCGAATCTATAATCATCTCGGAGTAGTAGATAGAATAGGAAAATTTCAAACATCTTCCCATTTTAGTAAGGACTTTTTGAATTTTCAAAAAAATGTTGTTGATAGTGCGAGTGGTTGAGGATTGTTGGTAACGGGAACGGTACCTTCATCATCCCAAGACTCCAGCATGTTTTTGAACAAATGGGTATGTCTGAAAATAGGGGACCCCCAAGTTTGATTGTTAGTCATCGTGTTTTCCCAGTAAAATTGCGAGTTATTCATGGGTATCCCGGCATCCATTTTCAGACAAGCCCAGATGATGGAATCATCGCCCTGGTGCCAAGGTCTCTGAAGGCTTCCAGCTTCTGGAGCGCCACGTTGCAACTGGTGCTGGAAGGCTTGAAGGCACGAAGCTGCTTGAAGTCGTCACTGCTGATTGGAATCCTTAAAAGGCGTCAGTAGTGGTGCACCCTGGGAAGAACTATGAGGTGAACAGTGAACATCTTGCAACCATTGAATTCTTCGACTTATCCAGCACATTGTTGTAACATGCTTCTGCATTCCAGCCACAACAACCACCATGGCCACTTTGCCAGTACAACCCGAAAGCAGAGGACCTCCCATCCTTCTCGGAAACTTCAGATGATGCCAGCTGGGAAACCCAGTTGTTTGGGGATAACATGGTGCGCCAGTTGCTCTCAGCACCTCAGACTCAGCAATCGACATCAAGTTGGTGTTTCATGGCATTGGCCTTGGCCACAAACCCTACTTGGCCACGTTTTTTTGTCATACTCCCTGGTGTGTTGTGGATACCGTTCCGGGAAGCTCCATGTGGCAGGTCTTTGCCCCAGGCCGGGCTCCTTATCCTGGAGAGAGGTTGGAGATAGGTTGGAGATAGGTGACGAGTCGATGGACAATGCAAAGACTTCTAAGACATTTGAGCTTGACAACCGGCTCCCTGTGATGGTGGGCAGATGTGGGCAGGCTAGTTTGCTTGGGGATCGGTTCAGTCGAATCTTCTCCATCCTCAGCTGCGGCCCCAGAAATCAGTTGACTTATCGGTATCGAGCAGATATTTCTTGCCATTACTTGCTATAGCAAAGAACACAACTTTGACCGGACTTGGAGTCAGATTTTTCTGTCATTGCTCCAGCATTTTGCCTCTATGCTTCCCTATGTTTTCTGATCTTCACCAAACTTGGTTGTTGTACATCTCCTAGCGTGACCTTGACATTTCCAGAAAATGTTTCAACATCATTACAAACTATTTCCATCTATTTTCGATATGTTACAGTCTGATTACAGTAATATGCTTGATCCAGAATTCTAATCACTTCCCGTATGTGAAGCTTGAACAGATCAGGCTTGTCAGCTTGCCCTAGCCTGGCTATTGGCTGAAGAGCTGGGAATTCCCGAAAGATCTTGGGCGGTGTGTCTCTCAGTCCTGGCTGACACGTCTCCATGATCTGGGATGCTACTAAATCATGCAAAGCAGATGCCCTCTGGTAATCAGTCATAGAAAAAATGGACAATTATCCATTTATAGATGATTAATGATTGTCCATTAAAACATATTGGGGATTTCCCATGCATTTGTTCAGGGCTTTCAGGCACTTTCAGTCTACGTGCGTTGAGTTGCACCCCTGGATCCCTGTACTCAGGACCCACAGATGCCACACACTCAGTTGTACGAACCATGTAGGCCTCGTGTCACCGTGTCATGTTTCGTTGATCCATGTATATCATGTATGATGAAAATCACGTTTCATATCACCAAAGTGGTGGCATAAATTGGGGAAGTGAGGCGCGCTGCGGATGTGGCCGCGGGACTTGAGCTGGGCTTTTCACTGGAGGAGGTGCGGATGAGGAGATTCATTTGAAACTGTAGATCTCAATGATAATGGATCCAACATTTTGTTTGTTGGACAGTTGTACCCATGCTTGGGGATTTAATAGGACTTAATGAATTTTGATGGGACTAAACAGAATTTATAGTGAGTATATCAACGATAGCCACAAGGAACATACAATTGTAATTTGTCCTCTTCCTCTACCCAGTTTCCACCTGTTGTATCCTGGGTATTGGGAGCAATCCTGTTTTTTTGTTCCAAAACTTCATATTGATATGTACATAATATTTGTTTCAACAAAATCTCGAATCAGCCCCTGCTATTAAGATGTTCTCCGATGCACATACTGTCACTGCGCCAGGGTGTAGCACAGCTCACTGGCAAGCCGGGGATCCGAGTTGGAGGTGACACAATATATCTTCAAGGCTCAGATGTGAATCATATGGGGACATCATATACATATATATATACATATATATACACATATATATATACACATACATACATACATATATATATACATATATATATAATATATATATGGTTTTAGTCAACAGACATAGCGGATTTTACCCGCAACAGGGGGATGTCAGCCAACACAAAATGGCTATGGCGGTGTGGGTTATACTTAGTTCAGCAGCCATGAGCCGATTCCAAGGCGTGTCTTGCTTTTCATGCCTCACTGTGATCGACCTCTCTACGAGGCTGTCCTCGGCACGGCCGGGACTGGCATTGCACGCAGGACCCAGGGGGATGGTGTGCTATGGCTATGCACGTGGAAGCCAAAACAAAAGTGCAGGGTGGTTGCTGTCTACATAATCATAGCCATTTATATCTCATGTTTTCAGCATTTGAGGATATATTGATAATGTAGCATTAGGATAATCTTATCTCTTCACCATTTATATCATTTTATATCCATAATCGTATCCATAAATGTTCTCCTTTGCCGAGGCCAAAGACGCTTCGCCGCTGGCAGATCTGGTTTTGCTTGGGAACTCCTTCCAGGCATTGGAATTGAATGGGAAGCGGCAAGGACCATCTGCCCTGACAATTGGACAATATCCACTTTTTGTACATTGATGATCATTTATACATTGGTTGTCCCATTCAAGATCGGAGAACATTACACAATGACGTTTCATTGGCAGAGGATTTAGATTCATTTTTCTGGTGAATACAAGATTTAGTTGGTTAACTGACATTAAACTTGCATTTTGATGTTGAATCTCCCGTTTTGATGCTGGAAACTCAGCATACCCCAGATGTGTTGCGCGAGGTATACCGTGAACGTGACGAGCTAAACCTGGTGACCACTGGCCCAGGGGCTGCTCGCGCGGATGGCGTGAACTCGGCGTGTTTGGAGATGAGGTAATCCATGCGGTGATGTTTAGCCGAACCAGACAGGGAGATAATCCATATTTCCCAATATTTCCGAGATCTGAACCAGCAGGAATCTTCATTTATTTTACATCATTTTACTTCATCAATCTGTAAAGATGAAGGGTTGGGAAAAGATGGTTCTGTCCCCTGAGACTTGAAACAAGCCGTCGCCCGCAGAGCTGTTTCACAAGTTGCATGTTGAACATGTGGTCAGCATGTGGTCAGCATAGAAGGGTTGCAACACAGACCTCCAAAACATGTCTACAATGTCTACAATGTAGACCAGATGACCGAAAAAAAAAGTACAAAGCCATACAAAGCCATACAAAGCCCAATTGCCAGCTGCATCCCCTCAGCGACGTAGATGCCTCATGGCAAGCCACAAGTATTACTTGTGCCAAATGACCACACCAGCTTCTGGAAGAAACAGGCAGAACCAAGCAAAAGCAAGCAATTTGAGACTTTCATGGACAATAGCTGATGATGTGGCCAATTGCAGCCCTGAAAAGATGAGAGTACCTTGAGGCCCCGCGCCGGAATTTCAAATTAGATTCCAGGGAGTAGTGATCCATAGTGATCCCGAAATGCTGCAGTGATTAGCGAGACAATTTTCTGGGTGAGGTGTTCTTAGAACCAAAAGAAACAATCTGATAATATCTGATAATCACAAGTTCTCTTTTCAGATATGTCTCTTGATGTCCGTATTGTCCGTGACAGATCTTGAGACATAGTGACAGCAGCGCTTAGGCAACGACCCCCAGCCATTGCCTTTTCAGTGATTAAACTCGGGACATTCACCGGGTAAAACACCCCGTTTTTTTGATGGGGTTTACAACATGAAACAACCCATGGGATCCCATGGGTTTCCAGTATCCAGTTATGGTTTTTTTTCTTCAATCCATTGACAAGTATGGTTATGCGAACATGAAACAACCAGGACTCTTCTGCTTACGGGCTGACCAGGGTAAGCGCTTCTGACCCACAACCATTTAGATTCTAAAATGTTCTAACTTGTCTAGGTCTACACTGTCTACACCTGCTTGGTGCGTGCTGCGAGCAACTGTCTTTCCCTACTGCAGGTGTGATATCATCTGCAGTGATGACCGCAGCACGAGCACGACTGTCAACTGCGACCTCTGAGGATGTTCGCAGCTCATGAATGTTGTCGTGTCCAAAGAAAGGAAGCCAATAAGATGCTATAAAATGCTATGAAGACGAATTGTGTATGATTGCGATATCTCTAAGTAACCACTGTTGTATTTCGAATTCGATCCCACAAGCGGCCCTGTCCAGCTTTCCGAGTTACCACCAGCGCTGACCTCGCTCATCGTGCGCTACACGGTGAAAAAGTTCTCTGGAGGGTCAGGGTAACCCAGCTCTTGTTTTTTGCAGTGCCATTCTGTCTCAAATCACAAAAAATCCTTCCCCCTAATATAAAAAATAACCGCCAGAAACCTTGGGTTGAGTACTGACCTTATATATGAGCTACAGCCAAAATTTAGGTTAATGGAGAGAAGTATTCGAGCGGTCTCTATTTTTTGGAAATTGAGCTGGGGCTTGGAAAACGATAATACACATAATACACTCTTCAAAAAACGATAACATTTACTTATGTACCAAAACCTGAAAAACGATAATACACTCTTCAAAAATTGATGACTTGGAGCTATATACCAAATATTGACCGTGGCCCATATCCTTATATTATAATATATTCATTTTGGGGGCCCCTGCGGGGGTGCTTAACATCACTCAACACCCACATTTGAGACCAAAGCCATGAGTGGGCCATTAGCTTCAAGGAGAGAAGACTTGCTCCCAGACGACATCGACGATCCGGAGCTACTTCTCAGAGCGTTGGCCCAGTTCCCCCGGTTCCCCCGGCTCCTGTGCAGCCGCAAATGCTGTGGAAACATGGGGAAATCGGTGGAAATCGGTGGAAAATGCCATGCCAAGGTTCGAAAATACCAGTTCGAGCCTGGCCCTTGAAGCATCTCATAGCACAGTGATGAAGATTTTGTGTTCGTTCTATCCGCGATCAGCAGGAACATGAAAGGGAAATCAAGTGATTTTCAGCACCTTCTGCTATTTTCCACTTTGCACCACTATCATGACAGGCATGAAATATCATCACCATCCTGTGGAGGTTACAAGCGGCAAAGAGCACGCAGTTTCGAACCGAAGCGCAGGCGATCCCGTGTCGCAGATTCCGTGCGTGCCGTGACAGATGAAGATTCCACCTGTGACCGAAGGCAGATTTCCTCAAGAAGCAGGTAGACTCTTTACAGGCTACGACCGCTCCGGGTGAAGTGCGTTTGGAAGTGTCCATGATTGTTTCATCTATATATATATATTATATACATTAGATTTATATATATATATGTATATATATATTTATATGTATATACATGTATAGATTCCACTTTGTGGAGTAGACTGACAGATTTCATGAAAAGCCACATTCATGTGTTTTGGTGATCTATTTGCCGACGCACTCTGGCAGGTTAGTAATTATGTTCAATTTAGGTGGCAGTTCGCGGTTTTCGCCGGTGTTTGCAGTGAATCTTCAAAGGTCCCCGAAACGAAAGCGTTTCCAGTACCCACTGCTACACTGAACAAACTTCCAGGACATCCCTTAATCCCAGACTTGGACAATATTTCATGGTCACTTTTTATGTCACAAGAACATCACAAGCCACATGAACAGTGTTCAAAACATCCTTTGATGATGCGTTCGGGGACTATACTGCCATATACTGCCCAAATTTTCTTGGGGATTACCCTCTGGTAATTTAACATAGCTATGGAAAATCACAATTTTTAATGGGAAAATCCACTATAAATGGCCATTTTCAATAGCTATGTTAGTTTACCAGAGGGTATCACAATCTCATTAGAGCCTTGCAGGAATTTCCACCATTCTTTGAGGATTGTCCCATGAAAAAACACTCGATTTATAGATATTCTAAGCTTCCCATGAATTCCAGCATTTTAGATGAATTTCCCAGCCTCTTAACCTCCATGGTATCGGTTCCTTTTCCATCTTTCCCCAGATTTTCCCATTCTAAAACCTCTATTGACAGATGATTTTTCCATATTTTTTCCATATTTCCCCATATTGACAGATGATTTTCCCATAACCTCCAGTGGTTACTGGATTTCCCATGAAGATCCCAGCTTCACGGAACCAGGAGGCGAGTGAAGAGGCGCAGACCGTGGCTAAGGAGGCGACCTCCAAGTGCCTTGGGATTTTTCAAGGTGAGTTTCTAGGTGGTTTATGGTGATTTATAAGGTGACTTATTGTAATTTATGGGGATTTATGGTGATTTCAAATTTCAGGTGACTTCAGGCGATCGAAGATGTGTTTGAACGACAAATCTGAGGATATTCTGAGGAGATATAATGGCATACATACCATATATATATACATACCATATATATATATATATGCATATATATAATATATATATATATATTATATGCATACATATGCATACATATGCATATTTTGTATGATTTTTATGGGTTTGTCGGATGGGAATAAGACACGATATGATAGTTGGGTGTGTCTGAAAATGGTATATGCTGGGGATGGGCGTCCAATCCATTAGGACAGAAGGGAACTGATGAAGTTGGGATGATCCAAAGATGACGATCCATTGATCCGTGGTGCGGTTCTTCTTGGAAGGGCTCTGCGGTGAATTTCTGAACTTCGGATTCTCGTTTTTCCGCGGCTTCTTTTTTTCGCCGCAACAGGGGCGAATGTTTGCAGTTGATTCTCGGGCCAGATTTGGATCTTGTAAGTTGGACCACATGCTCTCTGAGGTTGGCCTATTCAGAACGCAAAGTTGCCGACTACCGCAGCCGGGTGGGCGGCTTGTGGGAATCAACAGCTGCAAGGACCAGTCTTCAAGATGTTTCAAGGTAAACGTGCCAAACCCAAGACAAGCCGTCCCTCCAATGATCAACATTCCTGCAGCCAGATCGCAGCACTGGGCAGCAAGTGGGAAACCATCACGGGCTTCACCAATGAGTGCGGCACCCATCGCTGGGACAGTGAAACCACTGTGCTGACTTGTTCAGGCGTATGTCCCATTGATATCTGACATCTCGTTATTTTCCATAAGAACAATTCTTGTAATAGCTTGGAATATTCCCAATATTCCCAAATGAGACTTAGATTAAACTTACTCAGATATAATTAGATCACGTCTAGGAGATTCGGGATGATCTCAACTGTTGATCCCAGCGCCGCCCAGTGAATTGGAGCGTGATCCCAGCGCCGCTGCGAAGCGCTTCAAGGGTGAGCTGAGAGCCTCTTGGCGAACTTTTGGACCTGACCTGGCCACAGTGGCACCTGCAGCAGCACCTGCGGCGTTGGCTGAGGCGACTCAGTCAGAGATCTTCAACCAACGGATGACCATCCGACGTCAGCATGCCCAGGAGACTTTTGATGATGATGACTTTTGAGGTTCATCCGACGTCAGCATTTATGATGGGTTCTAAGCAACTCGACATTAGCAGGTCATTTCATGATATTTTTCTAATAGATTATGCATTCTGCCTCTGGAAACACCTTGGATCATTGGCAAAACCCAGGTTTCCAAAAAGAGTTGAAAGTGGTCAAGGAGCAAAACTGGGGATGCTGCGGTAGTTGATGAGAAAAACATGGAGCCGCACCCATGAGAACTTTCAATCTGTTTCAATCTGTTTCAATGTTTCAATTCTTGAAACGGGTAATTTTTTTTTGCATACAGTTGTTTTTCTTGGTGATTTGCTCAAACCACATTTGGTGCTTATCAACAATTTGGGGATTCCCAGAATTGCTTCTTCTCGTGATGTCTGAGCGGGTTCGTCTCAAAATCATCCCCAAAATCTGATGGTAACCATGATTTGCCAACTTACGGTGGCAATAACTCAAGGGTCCTTTCACTGGTGTCATGCTGAAGGAGCAGCTCAATGACTCCGAGGCGACAGTGCTGGAATTGTTGATGGAGACCGTTTGGATCAATGGCGGTTGATGGATGACCAAGTAACATTCTTCCAACCAAGTTGATGCACTTTGAAGTGTCCATTTTTTGCAGTGGAAGTAGGCTTTGGATCGCGACAGCATTTGGATTCACCAATGCAACAGTCTACTTATAGTTTCTGGCAGATTTGAAACTACTCCACTTGATGCTATAGGAAAAAGCCCTATGTCGTGCCATAGACTTTTTTCATCCTTTTTCCAAGAACTGCCAATATCAAACATCTTCTTCTCATATATCCTATATCCTATATACATATATATATATATATCCTATATATACACATATGTTCATATGTATATATATAATTATATATATATATATATGTAAGCAAATATATAATGTAATATATAATATAACTCTTATGTAATGTATTGTAATACATACATATACAACATCTCTTTCCATCCCCCATGTTCCATTTCTTGTGGCGTCCTGCGCCTGCGGGCCTGGAAGAGGCAAGCTTCACCCAGCTCTACGAAGAGCTGGTGGCCACAAGGCTCAAAGACCAGGCCAGCCCTGGGGGCCCTGGATCAAAACAGAATCCCGGCCATGGGATTTTTGATACCCTCTGGTTATTTAACATAGCCATGGAAAATGGCCCATTTATAGATGATGTTCCCATTAAAACCTCCATTTATAAGGGATTTTCCATGGCTATGTTAAATAACCAGATGATACCTTTTTTTTTTTAGTGGACATGTTTGATGTATTTTGATGTAAATTGTCAAGTGATGGAACCATGAGATTTATATAACTTCGCGCAAGTTGGGATATGGGATGGATATGGGGCCCCTATAACTATGGTTATGTTATGTATACAAAATGATAGTTGGGCAGCCGCAAGTAGGGTACCTTTCTGGACCCACAAAAGACTGGTCAGTTTAATGGCCAGTACACCATCCAATCATCCAAAACAAGGATGGCTTGAGCCATACTGACGTGTGGGGGATTGATGACAGGACCAAATTGGTGGGTCCATGAGGAAATCTCATTCTTGAGCCAAACACACATTTTTGTTCAACATTTCCCTGATAGAGTTGTTGGAGTGCCTTTCTGATAGTGTCAGGAGGATTGCTCTTTTGGCCACAGGATACCATGATTTTATGATATGACATGATATGATACCATTTGAATGGTTGGATAGGGCCTAGGGAGTTCCCTTGACCCGTGGCTTTGCTTCAGCCAGGAGCTTGAGAACATGCACAACGGCCTGGAAAACAAAGCCAGGGTCGCTGCTGTGGCCCTTGAGGAACAGAAGAAAAAGGTGGTGGAGAAGAGCGAAACAGCCAGGAGCGCCAGATCTCAGGGAGCAACGTTCTCCAAAGATGGCCACGGTGGGAACATGAGATTGTCATCGGTTGGATTTCGGGGCTATTCCATGCTATTGGACCAAACCAGATATCTCGGTCGGTTGGTGATGTGCAAGTTTACCATTCTTGGATGAAATCACGGCGGCCTTCCAGGTCAGACAACTACTGGCTCGGGTCCATGAGCTTGAGGCGACGTGATGATCCCTCCAGAAATCATAGTGGATTTAGAGTCTTAGAGGGAAGGGATTTACACAGGTTTGGCACTATACAAAGGGTGTGTTTAATATTGGATTTAGAGGGATGGGATTCTCAAGAACTATCATGGTTGCTTCAACCCATTGTAGGGGGGGGAAGGTTGTGATTTTGGCTTATTTCGGCTTTATTTGTCCAGTTTCACCTCCTGGAAAACTGGGGCGCTGGGATCAAAGCTGATTTTCGCAGGCCAATGAAGGCGATGTGCATCGTAAGAAGGCCATTGCAGACCGGAGCTCAGAGGGTGGAGCATAGCAGATGGACAGTGGAGTTCAGCCAGGGCCGAAACTATCTTTGAATATCGTTTGAGTGTGTTTGAGCAGTGGGGCAATTTATGAATGTACAACATGGGGTTATGCAATGTTATACATTATACATCCTTTTTGGCAGAACGACATCACAATGAACGTCTTTCCATGGTGCCCATACCGCCGGGGTTATGATTTCCTAAGGAGCGCAAAACCGTGGTCCTTGAGCGCGAGATTGAGCAGCATGTGCAGGCGTGAAACCGGTGATGTGCCCTGACTTTGGACTTGTCCTTTGAGGATTTTGAAGACTACCGTTCTATGGTGGAGATGATATCCTCAGTTGGGTGATTTCAATTCGTTCCAATCTTAACCGGGGCTTCAGCACTGATTCCAAGAAGTCTTCATCCATGTAGATTGCTGTGGGCCGGAGTGTTGATTTGATCCATGTTGATCTTTCATCATCATTTGCACCATAAATTTGGCAGACTTGGTTGTGATTGTGTTGGTGTTGATGGCCTTGCCAGGACATCAAGAGAATGGAGTCCAAATACCACGAAGGTGCTTGGAGCTTGGTGTTTGTCACCATGCTGTGGCATGAAAAAAGATCATCATGGTTGAACATGCTTCAACATGTTTCTTGGAAGTCTCAGATTTTTTTTCGGAAGTTGCGATGGACATCTCAGTTTCTGAGGTCGAAACCACTCTGATCTTGGAGAAGCGCTGCAAAGAGGAAGAGGCGAGCGCAGCTCTGGATGCGGCCCTTTTTTGGAGGCCTCGTGTGACAAGCTGATCCTCAGTGCAAGCGGCTAATTTGGCGTCAGGCCAAATTAGCCGAAGAGCGGTTAAAGGTAGAAGCTTTGACCCTGCAGCTAGCAGTCTGTGACCTCAGCTCCACTATCAGGTCGCTGCACTGGCTGGATGATGGATGGATGTTGGATGAACATTTCAACCATCATCAACCATCATCAACCAACATCAACCAACATTTCCTTCAACCATCATCATCATTTCATAACATTTCCTTCACCCTCTGTTGGACTTAGTGACTTAGTGGCTGTGGATGTGGGACATCGGATGTTGGCCAGTAAGGAAGAGAAGAAGTGGAGTGCCATCCTGAAACAAGACCTGGCAAATGCCCAAGCAGAGTCTGAAACCCAGTATGGCTCTGCAACTCTGCATTGAGAGACAGTAACGGAGTAACGGATTGGAAAGTACCCCTTGGAAGAAAACAACATATCTATAGGTTTCCAGGGTTGATGAGTGCCAGGAATTTTAGTCAGAGTTCAAGACTCCAAGATCCGGCACAAGATGCAAGGATCGAAAACATTGCTGATGAGAAGTACAACCTCTTCAAAGAAAACAAGTTGTGGCCTCAAGGGATCAGCCCTAAGGGGTAAGGGATCTGAAACCAAGGGCGGTTGGCCCGTGTGTCTTGCAACATATATTATACGTCTATCTATCTGTCTGTCTGTCTGTCTGTCTTTCAATCAATCAATCAATCAATCAATCAACGAAGCAATCGATCAATCAATCAATCAATCACTCACTCAATCAATCAATCAATCCATCAATCAATCAATCAAATTCTATCTTCTGTATATGTACACACAGAGAGCCTATTGATCATAGACTGATCGAAACATAAGATCCTGCCATCTCTCAGGACCTTGGACAAGAAGGGTATCATGGAAGGCAAGCGAGCCAGGGAGGCGGAGACGGAGGCCGGGTGGCGATCCAATGTTGGCTTTCGAAATCGAAAGGATCAGAAAGGACTCTGAGAAAATCCCATGATATCCCCATGACATCATGATATTTCCATTTTTGGTGAAAATCACAATGTTATGTTGTGTTGGTTGGCTCACCATTTCTGACTGCTGAGTGAAAAAGATTGTGAATTGAGCCGCGAGGCAAAGAAGGTCAGAGAGTTGCTGGTGGATTCTTCGTCACTTGGAGAAATCACTGCATGGGGTGACCATTGGGATTCAGGGCTTCTTTGCAACAGACTCATTTGAACAATTTGGAAAGGAGGGCTATTTTTTTGTGTTTTTTTTCCTCCATTTTTTTGGATTTCTGTTTCCCTGCTTCTTAGCTTTTCCGCTTTTCCCTGCTTTTGTTCTTTTATAGTTCTTTGCTTCTCTGCTTCTTTGCTTCTTCGCTTGTCCACTGTGCTGCCTCTCTGCTTCTCCGCTTTTCCCTGCTTTTTCCTGCTTTTCCAGCTTCTCTGCTTCTCTGCTTCCAGCTCCAAAATGTTACAAGTTCAACCAAAATGTTGCAAATCCTATTCACAATGAGAAGTTCCAACTCCAAAATGTTGCAAAGACAGTTGAAATGGCAGCTTCCAGCTCCAAAATGCTGCAAATAGTATGGAAAACGGGCATAACAAACGGACCCCCAAAAATGCCCAAAACGAAAAAACAGTTCCTAAAAGAATTCTGGACCCATTTGGAAATATATGGAATACATTTGAACAATTTAGTCGAAGAAAACTGAACACAGCCCAATTTTTGACCTCGCAGGTTGATAACGAGAGGTGTCACCACCCGACTTCGCCAGTAGGACTCTGAAATTCTGAGGTCAAATCTTGTCATGACGACCCATGAACTCGGGGTGCGAAGCTCATATTCCGAGCAAGGCCTTTTGGAAGGGTTGAACATGTTTGAACCAAGAAATCAAGCGAATGGGCAAAGTCGGCAGTAAACTTATTGCAAGAACTACTACGGCCACCAGCAACCGCCAAACAACGGTTTCGTCAAGCCCCTGGACCCTTGTCATTGCTGACCCTTGAATCATATGTTCTTTTCGCTAAGGACGAGAAGAAGAGAGTGGCCGAGCTGGAAGAAAGGCCGCAAGTGGGTTCTAGGTCTGGAAGGTTTGGATGAGGCAGACATGCAGGTCACTGATTGACAAGTCTCTCCAGGCTGGAAGAAACACGTGGCACTGCGAAAGAATACCAGGACTGGAAATCGCTCCAAATGACGAGGATGCACCGCCCCAAACCTCTAAGTCGTTGGGGACTTCTTCAATTTTTCAGAGTCTAACTGGAGAGTCTTTGGTATCCAGGCACAAACTTTTAACGAAGGTGGCCTCCGGTACTTAGAACCATGACATACCCATTGGAGCAGCACCAAGACAGGAGTTGGCAGCAACCAGGAAGAACATTGTGGAAGGTTTGGAGAAGGCCAGCTTGCCTTGTTAAAAAGCACAGACACACAGCAAAATGGTAAGTTTAGGGGAGAAAATCATGATCAACCATGAAATTCAGTTTTTTTCACCCCAAAAAATCCGACAACCAATTTCCACATGCATGTACAATAAGTCCATTTTTTGGGGTCCCAATGTTGATGCCAGCAGTTGCAGCCAGGAAGTATATGACCTCAAGGAGCAGCTGAAAGATGCAGAGGCGACAGCTTCACAAAGTTAAGATGGTGATGGATCAACACCTCTATCGAAAATGTATTGTTTTGAAAACAACATATAACAAACAATCGGGATAATAATGCCAACACTAATTTCAGTGATAATAGTCATGATTCTGATAGTAATACCACATATATATATACATATATATATATACATATATATATATATACATATATATATATATTGGGTGTCTCACCAGCCATTTTGATGTTCACAGATCCATGCCGCATGTCCATACCACAGGTAAGGGAGTATGCTTTGGCTCGTGAGCTGAAGAAGACGGAGGTGCCATGTGTTGGAGATCTTTGTCTGCTAGGGAGAACCCCCCAAACTACCCTCTGGTAATTTAACGTAGCTATTGAAAATCACCATTTATAGTGAGTTTTCCCATTAAAAATGGTGATTTTCCATAGCTATGTTAGTTTACCAGAGGGTAATGAGTATATTATACAAACTAATGAGTATATTACCCTCTGGTTATTTGTTACATAGCCATGGTATAGATGGCCCATAGAAATAGATGGTGTACCTATTAAAAATGGTGATTTTCCATGGCTATGTTAAATAACCAGATGGTATCTATTTCATCATACGTCCAATTAGCATGTCTAATTATTTTATGGACATGAATCGATTTTCACTCCAAAAAATTCCTCAGTTGAGGGAGTAATCTTCAACCCGCTTTGTTTTTTCAAATCTAGAACCGCGAGATGTTTAGAAGGAAACTCCATGTGGGGGTTTCTTCAAATGAAGAACCCTAACACTTCAATCCCAAGGGTTGCTTCACTGAAACCGACCAACAACTTGGATTCACCGTCGTAATGGATATCCGACGCGGTAATCGTTGCCATGGCAATGGGACATGCCCCATGATGATTTAAATGCGAACATCATCTATAAATTGTGTTTTTTCGTTGCCATGTTTGATTACTGAAGGGTGGCCAACAACCAATTTACAACCATTAGAATGGGCACATCATTTCCACAATATCCTAACATCAATATTCCAGTTTTGGTTGGTTTATTCTCAGCCCATATTGATCAGTATCCCATATATCCCAACATAGATAGATTCCAACATTTTTTGGTTGGTTCATGATGAATCAATATTCCATAATCAACATCAGATGATATTCCAACAAATATATTCTCATGATATTTTGGTTGGTCAATGCTGAATCAATATCCCATAATAGCCATAATATTCCCCATTGATTCATCGTAAACAAACCAAAATCAACCAAATGTGGAAGAAATGATTGATAGTATCATATATGAGGTGATAACAATTGATGAAATATTCCTATCATACACCAAACCATATATTGATAATCTCATAAAATCCAGCCTTTCATCACTTCCAGGCCTTGCTTGCAGAATCTGTGGACCGCGAAAAGGCCTGGCTTTCGGGAGATACACAGCCAGTACACATGGGATCAACATCGGAAAACTGCGTAGAAAATAGGGCTAGACTTGTGATGAATGATGAGGAATGATATGGCTATGGATCAATACCTATTAATACCATTTTTAGTGGGATGAACATCCATTTACAAGCTATTTCGGGGTTCACTAGGTACCAAGGTTTTGACCAATCCCCATATGAATGTGGAGACATTTTCTTGTTTCTCTAGCGAGGAAGAGGTCTGAAGAGCTTGGGATCCCTGGCAGATGCCAACCGCATCGCTTCAGGAAGCTGATGCTGAGACGGTGCGCGTCGTCAGCTCGTGGGAGACTTAGCGACAGATGGGGATGACTCAAAATTTAAGGTGCTGGGGAGCACAGATTCTTAGGCATTTTTTTGTGGTATCCATTAATTTTTTGGTGTATAGCATCAATTTTTTGGGTATAGCATCAATTTTTTGTGGTATCCATTAATTTTTTGGTGTATAGCATCAATTTTTTTGGGTATAGCATCAATTTTTTGGGGGTATAGCATCAATTTTTTTGGGTATAGCATCATTTTTTTGGGGTATAGCATCATTTTTTTTGGGTATAGCATCAATTTTTTGTGGTATCCATTAATTTTTTGGTGTATAGCATCAATTTTTTGGGGTATAGCATCCAATTTTGACACATGTCCAATTGAGGGAACAATGAGACCGTGTGAGCTTCGACACTGAACATGGCATGGAGATCACAGGCTCAAATCCTATGAAGAAAACATGTATATATATTCAGAGTTACCATCTGGCTATGACTAACATAGCCATGGAAAGATCCACCATTTTTAATAGGCAAACCATCTATTTCTATGGGCCATCTATACCATGGCTATGTAACAAATAACCAGAGGGTACGACATTACGACACTGCAGCAACATTGCCCCTCAGATGGTGAAGTCCATCAACCTGCCACTAGCATCATTTCCCTGAGATGAACATCGAATGTTCATAGCTATGCATTGCAGATATGCTTCTTTCCCGCACCTGCAGACAAACAATCAAAGCAGCGACCAGTTACAACTCTAGTCAGACTCGTCGAACAAGCGTTGCAGTGGTGATGGCACCAGACCCGCAGAAGACCTTCAAGGCAGAGTGCTCCGACGGGATTTTTCTTACCTTCGGGCACGTAAGGCATTGAAGATCATTCAAGAATTTGAGTCAAAAGCGGCAACTTGGACAAAATCCAGTCACAGATCCAGATGGCTCCAAGGCTAGGCCACCCCATCTAATCCTATGGTTTAAAATAAAACATCAATGGTTTCCCCTGCCCCCAATTGTCGCCAGGTGTTCAGTGGCTACGGGGTCTTCATGAACGAGGTCTGGGCCCAGGCCGTGGCTGAGGCACCAACGCTCAACGAAGCCCAGCTGCTGGCGAAACTGAAGAGTCGATGGGATCAGATGACAGGCACGGCATTTTAGGGCTTGGGTGGAGATGGAGATTTGAGATTCCGTATATATATATATATATCTATAATGATATATATAATAATATATATATATAATAATATATATAATAATATATATAAGAATATATATATATAATAATATATATAATAATATATATAATAATATAAATATAACAATATTTTTGATAGTATATGTAATAATATATATAATTATATATATAATAATATATATAATTATATATAATAAGATATATAATAAGATATATAATAATAAGATATATAATAAGATATATAAAAAGATATATAATAAGATATATTATAATATATATATAATAATATATATAATAATATATATGAACATATATATATAAAATATAATAATAATATATAATAATCTATATAATAATATATATAATAATATATATAATAATATATATAATATATAATAATATATATAATATATAATAATATATATAATAATATATATAATAATATATATAATAATCTATATAATAATATATATAATATATATAATAATATATATATATAATAATATATTTAATAATATATATAATAATAATAATAATAAATATAATAATATATAATATATATATAATAATAATAATATATTTAATAACAATAATAAAAAAATCATAATAACAATGATAAAAATAATAACAATAATAATATTATTAATATATAATAATAATGATAAACACAATAACAATAATAATATTATTAATATATATATATATATTTGTATACTTATATAATTATATAATTGTGTCATTATATAACTATATATATATAATTAATATGGGTGACACAATTCTGGGGCATGCAATGCATGTAGTATAGATAGCCCATATTCGATGGAACATTTGATACCATGGGGAATGTATTTGATACCAGTGGTTTTTATCTCCACTATTTCATGGCAGAATGTGTATATATATATATATACTACTACTACTACTAATAATAATACTAATAATATTAATAATTGGGAACATTATTATGATGAGAAACCGTTTGATTTGAGGGTCTACAGTATACTCAAGTCTTGGACAAAAACTGAAATGGCTGTGTGAAGGTATATGATGTGGGCGGTCAGAAACACAACAAAAAACCCACAGGTAGTATGATGCCCCAATCATCCAGAATCAATGGCTCTGGATTTTTTGGTTGTTCAGCCAGGTGCCCAAAAGCAGGCTTACCAGAGCCGGGTGCCATCCATGACCGAGACTCAACCCCTTGCGATACAAGATGAACCGATGGATGTACCGTACACTGAGACGATACCAGATGATGAAGAAGCTTCAGATTCTGATGCTGGGACAGGTTTTCAGTCCAAGTATTTTTGGACAAGTATATAATTCGTCTTTTCTTCATTGATCCGTCTCCCACAGCACCAAAATGCAATTCGGGAAGTCCGCGGATGTTGCTCTTGACTCAGCTCGCAATCTCACATTAGTATTTTTGTCAACCAAACTTCCAGCCATTTCCGGGTCCATTGGTAGCCCCCAATGGCTTGATCCAAACCCCCTGGTCCCTGGTGGATTTTCAAGGACACAGACTATGAGGAGGTGCGCCCTGTGCCGCTGCTGGAGCGCGAGGGCCCCCTGCGCGATGCCTGGGGAAAGCTGAGGCAGGGCGGCTACCTGGGCCGCACACGACGGGAGTTGGAGGCCTCGGAGGCCTCGAGGACAGGAGCGGAGTTGGCGTGAAGAAAAGAGGCGCTTGAAGGTGCTGGGTGATGGCTGATGATGGCTGATGATGGCTGATGTGTGATCCAGGCTTTTCTTATTCTTATTTGGGGTGTTTTGAAAGGATGTGATGTTGATGAGGGGAATGAGGGGGATGTGATTGTGGTATTTGGCTGGTTGGCTGGGGTTTGGATGCTGAGTTGCGTAAAGAACGAATGTTGCAGTTTTAGATCGAGCATTGGTATTTGACCAGCAGTAGAAAGTTTGGTAGTTTGGTGGGCGAATTTCTGACTGAGGCTGGATACCTCGCAGAAGGAGTTCCACAGTCTGCAGGGTGAGGCGGCAAATCCCAGTTTTTGCAAATCATCTAAATGGAAAAATGGGAAGGGATGGGAAGGGTTTCAGTCAAACCAAGTGCATCCACGATGTCATAGGTTTGTCTGAAAATAGGGTACCCCCAATCATTTTTCTCCTTAAAACCATCGTATCTTGGGGTTAGCCCACTTTCAGACACACCCAGACAGGGTTCACCCCAGCGGTTGGACAATTCCAACGAGGTGGGTGGCTTAGAAAATTCCATCGAAGACCTCCGGGCGCGACTGGAAGATTCCAAGGACGGGTTGGTACTGGTAGGATGGTGAGGTTGGTGCCCTCATGTAAAACCCCTCCCTTTGGAACCAGGTTGAGCATTGGATTCTTTCGTTTTTCGAGGGAAAATGGGAAAATTGTGGGGGATGGGATTCAAATTCATCTGATTTTGTCTGACAATATTTACCAGCGTATCCATTCTGCCTTGGCAAGTGGCGAAAGCGCAAGGAAGATGCCCGGGCATATCGAAAGCGCACCTTTGATCTGGAAGGTGACCTGAAGTTCAGTGCCCAGAGATGAAATCTGAAGCAAATGCCAATGGATTAGCTGTCTGAACCACAACTTTCTCACTAAGATCCTTATTAGAATATGCTCTATGTATCCTGCATGTTTGTTGATGAATCCAAACATTTTCCCAATCTTTTTTAGTTGAAGATTTCAATTTTGGATTGCAACGTGAGCTGCAAAATGAGGCAAGCAAATCAACGTGCAGCAGAATCCGAAGAGCGAGAGTATCACTTGAAGGTCGAGTGCAAGAGGCCGGAGGTTTCTGAAGGGGGGATCCTGGCCTTGTACTTCCTGCATGTTGTAAGGATGCAAACGGCATGTTCAGATGATCCCATCCTTTCAGCATCTTTGAGCGAAAGTTATTTTTGTATGTTTTTGCCGTGTTCTGATGTTCTTGTGATCCAACCTACTGCTCGCGAATCATGCCTTTGGCCGAACTGCGCAGTCTGAAGCAAAAGCTCGCAAAAGAAGAGGCATCTTAACTTTATTTCTTGTCACTTCATTCTGGAGCGGTCATAGACTGACAAGCTTAACTGATCTGGCGAAGCAAAGCATGCTTCTGTGGAATGTGTCAGCATCTCTCTTCCATCAAATGTAGATACAGCACAGTTGCTGCCGCAGTGACAAAAGTCAAATTGACGAGATTATAACCTGCCCTACTAGCGGATCTAGCAGATCATGTGATATCCAACCAGAAAGTTCTGTGCAACTTTGCAATGGCCTGCGCCTTTTTGTGTGGAAAAAGTGGAAGTTGCTTCCCCATCATCAAGAATAGAACTGTTCGGCAGGATGTGATTGCGGACCTTTCCGAGAAGGTGTGGAGATCTATGAGATATGTATAGATATGTGGTTCTGCCATGCTATGGGATATTTATGGCATGGCCCAGGCATGCTCAGGATTCTGCACAGATTCAGAACCTCCAAGTGCTCAGGTGGAGCTGATGAATGCTCAGATTCTTCAGAGCCAGGGAATGTGCGCCTCTGAGACGTGAAAGAAATTGCTTCCTGGACCCAGTTCTGAAATGCGCCTTTTTTCCAGCAGAGGCTTGAGAAAGAAACTCACTGCTCACCCAACAGATGTGATCAACTGGCACGGCTTTGGAACTACCTCTGTTTTTGCTGTGCATTGTTGGGGTTCACACCCAGGTACGCAGAAGTGAAGGAAAAAGAAGCTTCGCTCTTCGAAGAGATTGAAAAGCCTTTCGGCCCAAGATCTGTCGAATTTCAGCTCAGAACAGAAGTGCTGCGACTTCTATGACTTGCCGAGGTACAAAGAGAAACACCTAGTGGAGTGCCTAACTTCTTTTTCTAAATCTGCAGAACTTGTGGTGAATTCAATTGGATCATGTTATTCTCTGGCTGAGCCTTTCAGGATGCAGTGGAGCGGGGTGATGTGCTTGAGAAGAGCTGGGGCCTCGGGCCATAGGGACCCGAAAAAAACTGCAGGTTATCCTGCCAGTGGATGAGCAAACCATGACGCAAACCTGATCGTCTGAGTTCGGGTGCTAATATCATGGGTGCGTATATATATATATATAGATATATATATATACATATATATATATGTATGTATGTATATATATATATGTATATATATATATATATATGTACAATCTCTTTCGGTCGAAGTTCGACCATGTCAACAACAGTTTAGCCTTTCTTGACATTTTTTGCTGCCAAGGTTTGGCACATGTGGAGGGAGAGGTTGAGGATTGGCCCTCAGCGATTTGCTCGAGGGATCCATAGCTCCAGCGGTTCCAACTATGCGTTTGGTACCCTCTGGTAATGACTAACATAGCTATTGAAAATGGCCATTTATAGTGGATTTTCCCATAAAAAATGGTGATTTTCCATAGCTATGTTAAATTACCAGAGGGTACACTTTCCGCCAAGGTTTACAAAGGCCAAACTGGTGTTTTGCCCCTTGGCTGAAAAAACCGGTGACCTCTTGATTTTGTGCGGCAGAAACGTCATACTAGCATACTAGATCCCTTCCAAAAAGATAGAAATGCAGAAAAGCACATGTGCACTATTTCATTTTAGGATTTTTACCTTTTATCTTTATGCTTTTGGTCATCGTTTTGCTGTTGATCACACATGTGTTGACCAAGGAGGGAAGAAATCCATGAGAAGAAGCAGGCGTCTCGACCTTAGCCCACCGGATGGAGTTTGCAGGAAGACTTCTTTTGGCTTCCGGAACTTTGCACCCGGCTGCGACCAAGGCTCAGAGTTTCAAAGAAGGACTTGGCAATGACTGTGGGGGGTCCCAAGCCATATGGTCTGCACAGAAAAGCAGGTGGTTTGACTCTACTTCATGTCATTTGGCATCGAACCGTCAGCATGTAGAGGTATGCACAGACTCAAATGGTAGCACTGGAGAGGATCTACCCTAACCCTCTTTCCAGCCCATCTTTTTACCGATTCTAGGCTACAGACTTGGATAGTCTCAAGGACAGTGGAAGCAGCCAAGGGTCTTATAAACTCCTGACAGGCAACTGTGGAGACATTTGTTTCTGCGGCTATGCCAGAATTCTGTAGCAGTCAGTCTGAAAAGTTGGACTGAACATCTGAACATCTCATCTCTGACTGCGATTGTTCATGCATCAGCACCAGGCAAGCAGGCCATGCGGTAGCTACCCGTAGCCGATGACAGGAGTCTCTTGAGAGCATGGCCGCTGATTTGAAGAAGTATGGAGCTCAGACCAGAAGACGGCAATGGCTCAAAGGCTCAAAAATGGGGCAATGGCCAAGAACATGGATCATTTGTTGTATTGAACGATTCATTTCTGGCATTCTGTAAATCACTTTGAGACAGCCATGAGAAGATTTTTTGTGTAGTGAAATTGTGACTTAACGTCAATTCTAAGAGATGAGTTATGCCGCAGAACGCCGCAGAATGCCGCGTTACGCCGTTGGCCACGTTGGCCGAGGTCAAAGAAACTCCAGAGCGAGGCCGTGTTGCGCGTGGACTTACTGGAGAAGGCCAGACACTCAAAAAAAAAACATCATATTGGATCAATCATTATCATGATTGATAATGATTGATCATCATAATGATGAATTATGATGAAATGGATCATCACGATGAACATCAATGGATCAATGGATTGGTGAAAATACAGGCAATTCCCTGAGATTTCCTATATATTTTCTATATATGTCCTATATATATATATACATATATATATATATGTCCTATATTTCATGTGAAAAAAACCATGGATTCCGGTGAAGAGTTTCCCTTCAACCAATCCATCAGCCCAGTGTTACCAACCTTCAGGAGTTGGTCGACGTCAAAGAAGAGCTGAAGGTGAAGGTAAAAGTGGCAGCAGCTCGGTATACGGAAGATATGTTTTTTTAAGGGTGCCTTGGGATGGAAGTCTATAATATGTACATACACATGTAATATGTATACAATATATATATATATATAATGATAATATTGTAGGTCTTTGATTTTATCCTTCCTTAATTCAACAGTAACAGAGGTATTTAATGGTATTTATTTGTTGCAAGTTGCAACTGCTGGTTCGCAAACCTTGTCATTACCAATAAAATCCTCGGTGTCATTCGCAAGGCAAAGCTGGAGAGGGTTGTTGAAGACCTCAACGTGAAGCCTGAGCCTTGGATGCCTTGGATGCTTTGGATGCCTTGGGTTCGGCCAGGGTCAGTTTGTGATCTGCTGGTTAACCTGATCATATCAGCAAGTGGTGCCTTGAGACCTCTTTCGGCCGCCCCAGGAGTGTTGAACATCAATTGGACATCAACAACCCTTGACTTCAAACATTTTGTTTTGCTCGATTCGAAGAAAAATAACTTGAAGATCAAGTTGCATCATGTTCAAATCCTCTATATCCAAAACACACACGCACACACACACACAAACATACACAATATACATGAAGTATAGTATAGTGACGTATAGTATATAGATGACAAACACACATTTTGTACAGACACCTGTCAGAAACTGGCCTTGCCAACTTGCCCGCCCTTGGAAAAGTAAGGTTGGAAGATGCTATGTTCGAAGTCACCGAGGAGCGCAAAGAAGCCAAGTTGGTGGTGGAGAAACTCGCAAAGAGGGATGCCGCCTTGAAGAAGATTGAGCACGAGGCCGGAGAGGGACCTTTGAGACGTTTTGAGACCCGCTGAACGCTCAGGAATGAAGACAACCAAGGGATATCAAGATTATCCAAGGGTCTGGCCTATCTCAGATCTCTATCTAGCCAAGATCTCAAGCTTGTGTGGGTGATTTTGACTACGAAACAGACATATTCAGGAGATCGTCAAATCTGGGATTGGCTTGAACATACTACTGGTACCCTTTTTGAAAGACAAAAACTCACATTTTCAAAGATTTTTCCAGTGAAACAACATTCTTGAGACGTAGAAATCTCCTCTGCTAGAGGAGAAATGCTGCCTGTCTTCACACTGGGAATTTGGGTGGTTTCTCTGCTGTGATCCTCAAGTTGATTTGGCACAGTGTAAAATCATACATCGGGTTTGCTGATGACACTTATATAATTCATGGCCGGAGATGAGTTTTTTTTTTTTCCGACCAAGAGGCATACTTCTCCAAAGAGTCTGTTTGGCGAGTGTGCGATGATGTCAAGGGCTTTCAGGCTGGCCTGTGATTGTCATCCTGATCATCCTCATCATCCAACGGGAATGGCTAACATGGATGTTTTGGCAATGTTAAACGACATGTTTTGTGGGTCCATAAAAAGCCCCTATTCTGGAGCCCAACTCTGTCAAGTTGCAAGGACAGAGAGGTGAAATTGAAAGAGGAGAGCCAAGTCTTGGAAGGCCTTGACAGAGCCGCAAAGCTGTTGAAAGTGTACTCAACTGGTGAAATACATTTCAATATATCTCACTGTCATTGACTAGTATACTGGTTGCAGTGGCACATTGAAAGCTGGCCATGATGCTGAGGCGAAATCGAAAAGTGGAAGGTGAAGTTTGAAGAATCCGAAGTGGAGGCCTCCAGGGAACGATGCACGGGGAATGATGTCATTTTACGGAAGCCGTGGTGATTCATGTTCTCTTAGCCTCTGGTAAACATACAAAAAACGATGGAAAGATCCACCATTTTTAATGGGAAAATCCACTATAAATGGTCATTTTCAATAGCTATGTTAAATTACCAGAGGGTATCCATATCTTCAAAAACAAACGATGACTTCTCTGGAGTACACAGAAGTCATCTGATGTTTGTGCATGTTTGTGCAGATAGCGAAACTGCAAGACATCAATTGGCGAATAGCAGAGGCTTGCGAGACGGGGATTGGACGTGGTTTCATGGCAGAGAATTCCTTCAGATTTCTCCAGATAGCAGGTGGATTTACCCCCGATGTACAACCAGATTTTCTGAAACCTTGGATTTTGATGGATTTTGGGTGGCCATGGGTAGCCTATTTGACAACCCGACCCTATCCGACCCTTTGGCGATCATGGCCGTAGACGTTCGGCAAGGACCTCAAGACCTCCAAAGTCAGTCTTCGGGATGTCGAGGACCCTACGCGTGTCACATGGGATGCTTGTCGAGTATCTCCAAGATTGGGAGCTCAAATCCACCCAAACAAGATCATACTGGGGACACCACAAAGGGTTGAGATGGATTGAGTCCAGTTTTGGGCGTGCACACACACACACTGAATGATCGCGTGTTCAGTTGCATTGTGGCCGCTTCGAAAGCATAGCTTCTTTGATAAAGACACATATCCTCGAGTGTCGCAGGCTGTGGCAAAGAAAACCACCATGGAACTGAAGTCTGGGAAAAATCGCATGCTGGAAGCAGAGGTCTGGCTGGCCCAATGAAATGATCCTGGCTGGATTGTTGACATTTTGCTGTGACCACGGGATTGTCAAACCATCGCATTCTTGGCTTTCCCCAGACCCAGTGTCGAGCTCAACCGGCGCAAATTTGGTGAAGAAGCTGACTCGACTAGTAGCTCACTAAGATCAATTATCCTTCTTAGAGTTATTGATAGTTATTGTAGTTCCTTGTACAGTAGTTCCATTATATATATATATTTCATTATTTTGGGGGTTTCCACAAATGGGGGTACCCCAATAGCTGGATGGTTTATACTGGAAAATTCACTCACAAAAAGGATGACTTGGGGGTATATACCCCTCTTTTGGGGAAACCCAATAATTCATCATGTTTCATCATCACATTTCATCATATTCCATCACATTTCATCACATTTCATCACATTTCATCACATTTCATCATATTTCATCATATTTCATCATGTTTCATCATCACATTTCATCATATTTCATCATGTTTCATCATATTTCATCACATTTCATCATATTTCATCATATTTCATCACATTTCATCATATTTCATCACATTTCATCACATTTCATCACCACATTTCATCATATTTCATCATATTTCATCATGTTTCATCATATTTTAACATATTTCATCACATTTCATCACGTTTCATCATATTTCATCATATTTCATCATGTTTCATCATATTTCATCACATTTTATCACATTTCATCATGTTTCATCACATTTCATCACATTTCATCATATTTCATCACATTTCATCATATTTCATCATATTTCATCATGTTTCATCATCACATTTCATCATATTTCATCATGTTTCATCATATTTCATCACATTTCATCATATTTCATCATATTTCATCATGTTTCATCATCACGTTTCATCATATTTCATCATATTTCATCATGTTTCATCACATTTCATCACATTTTATCACATTTCATCATGTTTCATCACATTTCATCACATTTTATCACATTTCATCATGTTTCATCATATTTCATCACATTTCATCACGTTTCATTATATTTCATCATATTTCATCATGTTTCATCATATTTCATCACATTTCATCACATTTCATCACATTTCATCATATTTCATCATATTTCATCATGTTTCATCATCACATTTCATCATATTTCATCATGTTTCATCATATTTCATCACATTTCATCACATTTCATCATATTTCATCATGTTTCATCATCACGTTTCATCATATTTCATCATATTTCATCATGTTTCATCATATTTCATCACATTTTATCACATTTCATCATGTTTCATCACATTTCATCACATTTTATCACATTTCATCATGTTTCATCACATTTCATCATCATTTCATCATATCTTCATCATCATTCATCACGTTTCATCATATTTCATCATATTTCATCATGTTTCATCACATTTCATCACATTTTATCACATTTCATCATGTTTCATCACATTTCATCACATTTCATCATATTTCATCACATTTCATCACATTTCATCATATTTCATCACATTTCATCATATTTCATCACATTTCATCATATTTCATCACATTTCATCATATTTCATCATATTTCATCATGTTTCATCATGTTTCATCATATTTCATCACATTTCATCATATTTCATCATATTTCATCACATTTCATCCCATCCATGAGTTCCATTCGACCACCAGCCATCAGCCTTGAAGGCCAGGAACGTGGAGCTGTCAGCCAATGTGACCCAGCTCATGGAGGTTTCGGGGGTCTGAACATGGGGGATTTCACAAAGAAACTAATATGATAATAGTTGATAATAGTTGATAATAGTTGATAATAGTTGATAATAGTTGATAATAGCTGATAATAGTTGATAATAGTTGATAATAGTTGATAATAGTTGATAATAGTTGATAATAGTGATCATGATTGATAATGATTGATACACCACCAACCAGTGATAATGATTGATAATGGTTCCCATTGACAAATGATATCTAATGATATCTAACGATCTTGTTGAGATCATCGACAGGTTTGATGATAAGAATTCGGATTCACATATATTCACATATGGATTATTTCCATCCTACCTGAGATAATGATTCCAACTGATGAATGTATTTCAGAGGGGTTGAAACGATCCGGTCATCGATCAAACTGCCCGCTGGATCCTGGGAAGTGGCATGAACCATGCGCAGCTTGGGTAGAGAAGCAGTGTCGGGTTATGTTTCAAAGTGAAATACCTAGTCTTTGGCATCAGATCATCTAGAAAGCTTGCACTCTTGACATTTCTTCCTTGCAAGCCATGGAAAGACCACAACATTCAAACATGACGTGCTGCACTGCTTTGCTCGGTACGGGTCGCAAGGCGCTGGTACAAGCAGAAGCCAGAGAAAAAGAGGCAAAGCGGGAAGGATTTGCAGTCTTCTGTAACCTTTTTTTCCTTTAATCTAGATGTATCTGGTTTGGTTGCATCTCAAAATGTCCACGACATCACCATGTATATATATATATATTAGAGATTATTATAGTGTGTATATGTGTGTCTGTATGTATGTGTGTATATATATATATATACACACTATAACCAACTATCACCATTTATACATAGTTTAATTACTGTCAGATTTGCCATGAGTATTGCGGCCATGGTCACATGTTCAGCTCTGGCATCAGTCCTGGCATCAGTCCTGGCATGGTTGGAGGCGCTGGAGATGGCGGAGAAAGGAGCTGGAGAGAAAAAGAAGAAGAAGGTGGCGAGATCCAAAACGACTGCGAGTCTCAATGGCTGACCGAGATGTGCATTTTAACATGCGGAAACATTCTGAAATAAAATCAAACAAATTGACATAATCATATACATCAATGGGGAGCTTTTCTGGAAACACCTTGATAAAGGAAGATGTCCACCGAAGACAAACACTGTTTGGGTCCCTTTCCTTGGCCCCATAAACTTCAACCAAATCGAGCACAACTTCAGCCTCCGCAAACGCGGACGGACACCTGTAGCACCGACGCCACGTGGCAACGAAAAATGGACGCCACTCTGCTGCTTTGGAAGCCGAGATTCGCAGGGATTGGGTCTAATAGGTACAGCTCGACATCATACGGCTGGTACACATCATCTATAGGGGAGCCAACACCAACAGATTAGGTTCACCTGCGTTTTGGAATGTGATGGTTTGACACCTTCCAATATTCTAGTTGGGATCATCTTCCATGACATGCTGGTGGGCTGGTCATTCCGCATACATAGCTGTTTGATGTGGTTGAAGTCATCATGTTTGGACATATATCGTCTCGTGGATCCGCTTGCCAACTCATCTCCAAAACCCCCAAGTCAGCAAGTGAGAAGAGATAGAAGAGGGGATAAAGGAACACAAGAGTCATAGAAATTGAAATGAGACGTAAACTGATCAACACTTGCACCTGCGAATTTTTCATCATTTTTCTCATGACGCAAGCGTCCTTGTACGATGTGCTGCTGGTGGACCAACATGCCACTTTGGAGGAGATCAAGCTGGCTTTCAAAAAGCGTGCGCTGCAGGTTCATCCCGACAAAGGTGGCAGCAAGGAGGCCTTCCATTTGGTCTATGAGGCACTTGAGACCTTAGCTGATCCAGAGGCCCGCCAGAAGTATGATAGTGGAATAGCCAACATATCAACTACTGTGCAGCATCCAGAGGACACCGGCCCAAGACGCAAGAAGACTTCAATGAAGCATCCTACTGCGCAGAAAGAGCCGCGTCCGGAGAAAGCTCAAAAGTCGAAGAAACGAACAGCTGACGGAAGCAATGCAGAAACGAAACCAGCAGAACCCAAAGCCACTCAGCCCGAACAAACCAAGCTGTTAATTCGAATTCGTGATATTTTGAAGAAGTTACCCCGGGATGTGCGGAGTGATGTGATCACCAAGCAATTCTCTCAGAAACAGCGCCTCATTCTGGAGAAATGGATGGTTGACATGTCCTCAGCTCAGGGTGGAAGAGAAGGACCCTTGGAAATAGCAGTGGAAGGTCAGGTAGCAGCCGTCCAGACCCTCCATTCAACATCAACAACTCTACCAGACAGTCCTTGCAGTGCTCTCGCTTTGCCAACGTCAAGCGCCAGCTTCAGCCCGAAAGAGTCTAAGAAGCAGTCAGCCAAGCAGACAACAAGAAACCCAAAGAAAGAGCCTACCAAAACGGGAAGCGTTGGTGGCTACCTAATCAAGAGCGGTGGCTCTCGCTCTCGTTACATCGCAGGAATTTGCTTTGATGCGGTTGAGATACACACCAAACCATGCGATTTCCAGACCGGTCTCGAGTACTTGGTGGTCCTGACTGCTGTGAAGCAGAAAATGCGAGATCCCCAAACCATGCATGTTTGCTTTGAGCAACGTCTGCAAAAAGCCTTGGTGTCGTCAGCTAAAGAGCATAGGGGGGACTCAGAAGAGCTCAAACTTGACTTTTGCGTGATACACTCTGCGCGTTTCTTCATTGGAGCGGAATTACGAACCCCAAAGGTGCACACTGTTGAGCAGCTGGGGAAAACGCGCAGACTACTGGAACCATTTCGTAAATACCAGTATGCCAAGGGCGGAGGCAGGAGAAACAATTTTTGGCACTACAGCCCAGTCCATCTCCAAGATGCGTGGGGGCGGTTCAAAAAGGCAGTTGCTGAGGCATGGGATCTTGCAGGGAGAGACAGCAGCCGTGTTCTGCAGATGATGCATTCCCGTCATCAGGCTAAAACTGAATACCTGGATGCAAAGTTGCAACAGTGGGAACAGGTTCACATGGCAATGCAAGACAAGAAAAAACATCAGGGCAGGCGAGTGCGAGAAAGGAATCGGAATGGGTCTGCCAAGCTGCGTTGGGAGCGGCGACGGATGGCCTTGGAAGACAAGAACAAACACAGGCCCAGGAAATTCCGAGTTCGTTTGAACTTGCAAAAGTGTCCTTCTCAGAAACTTTCCCGGACATTGTCAGAGTTGAAAAGGCTTCTTGTTAGATGGGAATGCATCCTCAAAAGGGAGGCACGGCTACTGGAGCAGGAGCGGCAGAAAGCCTTGCAACAGAGGAAGGCGCAACGGAAGAAGGACCAAGAGCAACGAAGACGGCAGGAAGCCTTGACCAGGAAACGTTTGCGAGAAGAGGAACGCTTGAGACAAGATTTGTTTCGCAAGAGAATGAGATGCGACCTCACTATGGACGAGATTCTTGGTAGACGCCATGCTTGACGTGGGAAAAAGATGGAAAAAGGACCTGGCTGGGTTTCATTGCATGGAGCTAAGGAAAAAGTTCTTTTTCAATGCGTGGGATGAACCGGGGAGTGTGTGGATAAATCTGAAGATTCAGGCGCATTGAAAACTACGACAATGTTTTTAGTGATGGCTCATGATGTTTCTGGACATCACGGCGGTGCTAAAGATGATGAAAAAGAAGAATATGATGATGATGACGATGATGATGATGATGATGATGATGACGACGACGATGACGGTGACGATGATGATGACGACGATGATGATGATGATGAGGATGATGATGATGATGATGATGATGATGATGACGATGATTATGATGTTGATGATGATGTTGATGTTGATGTCTATTATCATGATTGCGGTAAAGTGCATGCGGCGCTTGTCCCACTATGCCATGTATCAATGTATGTACTGCACATCAATCTGGATTGAATATCCGTTAGTATCCATTGATATCAACTAATATCTATGAATATCAAATGCACTTCATGACCAGTGCCAGGTCCTACAACATCTCTATGCGCTGGTGGTGGAAAGACCCCTGTCCAGACCCAAGCTGGAAGATTCCAGAATGTGATGTGGAACGATCCAGGTTTACATATTATATATATAAAAAATATACTTATGTTTAAAATATAGTAGATATTATTATTCATGGATCATCATAATGGATTATTCATAGATCATGGATTACACATAATAGATATTAATGAACCAGAACGGATGATGATGCATGATATATATATATATATGTAATGTATGTACTGTCTGTATGTCTGTAGGTAGGTAGGTCTGTTATGTATGGTATGTATGTTATGCATTTTATGTAGATAATGTAGGTCATGTAGGTAATGTATGTAATCTATGTAATGTATGCAATGTATGGAATGTATGTAATGTATGTAATGCATGTATGTTAATATATGCATGTAGTGTATGTATATTGACATATGCTTATATACATATATATATTATAGTCGATCTTATTAATGGATCGTAATGGATGATTCTGGATGATAATGGATGAGAATGGATGATTGATAGCAGATGGTACTGGATTAATATCATACTGCTGCAAATGGAGTGCAACTGTGGATTCAGATTTGCAACAATTCAAACTTTTGGAGAGGCTTGAATTGTGTCTGCGTTACTTTGAAGAATTCTTGAAGGGTCACTGCAACATCTCTGCAAACCGAACCACTTCTCATCCGCCAAGGCCTGCCTTTCAAGGCTTACCGGAGGCCAGCAGTTTCTCGAGCTGCTTTGACGACAGGAAATCCGTGTCTTGTTGTGGCTCTCCTTCCAAGCCAACTTCTTCTATGCTCAAAGCCAATCGGCCTAGGAGACCTAGAAGATTTACTGATCACTGCATCTGTATATAGAATATGTATATATATATAACCATTGCACATTGAAGAGCCAATCTCTTGAAGATCGAGGATCGCTTCCAGCCCTGGCAGGCCTTCAATGATCTATCTGTGATGACTTTTCCACCCTCTGCGAATGCAAAAAGGTGTTCGCTGCAAACCCTCGGTTTGCCCGCGGCGAATCCCGCATATCCTTTGACATGCTCAAATCCCTGCGTAGGGTTTAAGTTTTCTACTTTCCAAAACAACAAACGCTGAAACCCTAAAACCCTAAATCCTCAAAACTTAAAGTCAAAATCACTGCGTTTAGACATGTATAGCCAGTGTTTTCATTCATCCTCTGGTGATAAGTATATCATGTTGTTTGGATGTGTTGTTTTTTCATGTGGGGTCCTCCACCAGGGTTTGGAGGGAAGGTGTTTTGTGTTGGGGATCCGACGGAGTCCGATGGAGCATGTTGTCACTGACTGACCTTACCTTAGCCAAGCCGCGGCTCAAGCTTAACGTAGGACCTGGAAACTCATGATGGTTCTGGTTCCAAGACAGAAGACCTTTGTGATCTGGTGAACTTTGGTACCAGCCAGCACTCATCATTGGGTTTCTACGATCAGAATCGACAACATATACTGGGTACAACCTGGGATGTTTGAGGGCAACGCCACCACCACGTAAAACGAAACGGCATCTCAGCCACAGGGCTCCGACTTCATGAAAGCATCACAGGCACCATCTACCAAAACAAACACATGAACACATCAAATCACCACAAAAAGTACTCTACCATAACACTATAGTTAGTGTAAGAGTATATATACTATTATACCAGTTTCATCAACCACACATCCTCCAAAAAGTCGGAGGTCCCCAAAATAGGCGCCGAAACACCATGTCAGGGACTCATAGAATCTGGTTATTCACCTGCTGGTAGATGAGGTGACACCTTTTAGAAAGCCTTTAGAATCCTTTCAGATCCTTTTGGTATATGGTGTATATATATAATATACATACGATATTGTATATATATAGTAATAGTGATACATAGTATATATATAATCATATGTATTGTTAATAGTGATATTTATTACTATATATCATTATCATATATTACTATATTTTGATTATTGTTATGATGTACACATATTGGATCATCGCTCCATATCATTCGAGTCATCTTTGGCAGAACTCTAGTGGCCCAGGTTGTGCCGCTCGTTGCTGCCCTGCAAGGTGACCAAGGTGACCGTGGGAAAGCTCTGAAACATCTGCGTTTTTTGGCAAAAAAACCTGAAGCACCATCAATTTTAGGCAACAAGTTTGTCACTGTTCAGGCTTTTTGCAACAAGCTGCGCATTGAAGATTCATTGGAAAAAAGAACATCAAGACTGAGCCTGCGATTTTTCTTCAATTTTGTCACTGGAACTACTATTTCAAGTAATTCCGGATAGAGCTCTGACTTTTAATTGCAACTGGTCAGTACCTGAATGATGTTCTGGATAGGCCTGGTCGTCTCGACTTCGTTGCAGCTTGAGGCTATGGTTTTATGGTTGGTATGTGTTGCAGGGGTCCTTCCAAACACCGGGATACAACACGCATGGTAGATGGCTTTTAAACTGTTTCTGAACCCAATCTTTGGACCACTGATGCTTAACAGATCTATGTTTTTTTGATGTTTAAAACCCGATCTTTAAGCTTTGGCAGACCGACTGCTTTGTTCCCTCGCGTGCTGAACGCGAGATTTGCCAGCGAGGCAGGGCTTCCCATATTGCCACATGTTGCGCGAGCATCAGATCTTCATCCATGTTTTCCTGGATGTTTTCCACTGGGACATGCAACCTCAGAAAAGTTTTGAATCAGTAGATTCAGTAGATTTGCATGATGCATACATATGCTGGAAAGACATGGAGAGACGAAATATATAGAATCTATATTTCCAGCCATGCCGCAACCAGGTACTTCTAGTGGCATGCTGGATGATGTCGTTTTTGCCACTTGATTAAAGCCGCGCCATGTCGCAACCACATCTGAGCATGCATGTGACTCTTCCAATGCTGGGCAGGAGGCCAGAGAAGTATCTCAGGAGAAAGCCTTTGAAGTTGTGAACGTGGAAGGCCTATGGTGAGCTGTCTGAACTTATAATATACCATAGTGGGCTGTCCAGACAGCGAAAATCTCCAGTCAGTGATAAATTAGTGCCATATGGGACTGCCTTCCAGTGGGTATAGATATGTATAAATGATTGATATCCTGTGGCCGAGGCTCAAGTTTTCCAGGACACATCATGCCATCCATGATCAGGCCATGGTCTCAGTGCACGTGCCACTCGAGACCTAAAGCCTCGAGCCCAGTGATATCTGGTTGCAGGGGAAGGATTGCTGGTTGATTTAAGGGAAAATCTGAAATCTCTAGGAACCCATTACTTGATTATACATCATCTAATATGGGAGTCTCCTAATTTCCTAGAAGGTTTCCCTTCCTCTCATTCTGGGAATGTGGACTGCTGGCTCTCAGGGAACATCTGAAAAAGATGCCCTCCATGCTGTGTAGACAAGGTTGGGCGATGTGGTGCTTCTGGAAGAACCGGTGCTGGTCGTCACCAGCAACGACAAAGGCAGGGCCGCCCCGGTTACGTCATTTGAAGGGATCCCAGTGGCCCGTTTAGGCGACGAATGGAAGGAGCAGCTCTACAGCAAGTGAGCCGGGGAAGGGCGCGACCCACAGATCCAACAAGCAGCTTCCTGGTCGCCCATTTTCTTCGCCCTGGCAGCCTCGAGTCTTGCTTACCACCAAAACCTTGGGGAAACACTTTACCCCATCTGCTTTCAAAGTCAGCCTAGTCATACTCTCAACCCGGTCGAACTGGACTGAAACAATAAGTTGATCACGTTCAACTTCATGAAGAATTCTCTTATTTTTTTTCACCCAGTTCATGCAGAAACTCTTTTCCCACTGCGATAAACTTACTGTATTGGTTGATATCTTCCAAGTACGTGGATATCCACCAAACAATAGTTCTTTCCATCCCCAATTCTCGTGGCGCGGTTGATCCCCCCTGAGCTTGACCAGGTACCAGGCCTTGCCAGAGGAGAAGCAGCAAGAGGTGCAGCTGGAGCAAATTGGACGTCAAGTAGCCTAGGAAAAGATAGAAGCATATTTCATCACGATTTTAGTGGGATGTTACTTTTCCAATCCTCCTGGGGGTTAGATGTAATGTATACTATAATATATATATAATACATGTATTATATATATATATACACATACACAATATATGCCATATATGCGTATACACAAAGAATCCAATAAAGGTTGTGGGGATAGCAAACAACAATCATAGGATGATATTGTCAATGAGAATGGGGATTTGATGGTAGAGGGATCAGCACTTACATCATTGTATTGATATATTTTTAATGGGATCAGCAATCATAAAGATTTGATGGAGAACGGATTCCGGCATGACGTGGGAGGTTTGGAATCTGCATGATGCGTGTTTGCAGAAACGAGAGAAGTGGGAGTCTTACTGCCTGGTGACAAGCCGAAGAGTGCTCGCAGTTCGCCATGTGGATTGACAGATACTTAAATGCTGTACAGCAATCGCTCCTACCTATGTTTTCTGTGAGGCACAGACAGGAAGCCTACACTTTTCTGATTGCTGCTATTGTTGGTTGAAGGTGGGCTGGGTACGGCTTGTGCCATCTGCCAAGGTCTCTGGAAGGCATTCTTTTTACAAACTGCATTGGGCGTGATCAGCGCGTGAGGTGGGGTCAAAGGGGCAGGAGGTCATGGTTGGATTTGAATTCAACAAGTCTCCGGGGGTTTGGGAGACCACGAAACCCTACACCTGGACAGCAGCTAGCAAAGATCATGGCTCCCTCCGAGTGAATCAACAGTATAAACGGATCACTATCGATCACCTTTTGTGCAGCTTTTGTATTGACAGCGGAGGTTTGACGCTGCGCTATGTTTGGAGTTGAGCCGCTTCAACCACTCGTGCAGTGGCGTCTCTCAGTCCTATAAGAGCTGCTATATGTTTGGAATTAGATCTGTGAGCCAGGCTTAGCAAGGTCTGAAGCAAGTTAGACTGAGAGGCATGCCTTGGGCCTTGGGCATTTTTGACTTGATCCAACTTTAGGGTAGCCACTTCTGAGGGGTTGGTGAAGGTCCCATTTTGGGGTTTTGGAACATTGCCTCCCATGTGGTGTTGGGAGATCATATTCCCAATGATGGGGTGATCTTTAAATTTCACTCCCTTGCTTTTGAGTGATTTGAAATATTTGAATAGGGCCCCCGAAACCATGAGATTTCGAATGCTTAAAGATGACTCACTTTTTTCTTGTTGGGAAACCTCTTCATATATCATATACCCAGGAGATTTTCAGGGGCCAATCGGCCAATCGGCCAATCTTCCAGACGATGTCTAACTGTACGAGGCCCCAACCTGGAGCAGAGTTGGGACCAAGAGGCTGGTCAGGCCAGACAGCTGGAGTTGGGGCATCAAGTTTTGATGGTCCTTTTTCACTGACATCAACAAGGGGTTTCCTGTGATGGGAAGAATGAAAAACGGGTGGACAGTTTATGTTAGTACGCTGCCCTGTTTTTTTTTGCTATGTCATTGTTCAATGTATGTTTCTTACCATTGATGCTTTTTGTGCTGGGGATTGTGGGACAATTTTGCCCCTACACTCTGATTATTTGGACCGGATCAGGGTGTCAGTTGTTGTTGTTGTTGTTGTTGTTGTTGTTGTTGTTGTTGTTGTTGTTGTTGTTGTCGTTGTCGTTGTCGTTGTCGTTGTCGTTGTTGTGGTTGTGGTTGTGGTTGTGGTTGTGGTTGTGGTTGTGGTTGTGGTTGTGGTTGTTGTTGTTGTTGTTGTTGTTGTTGTTGTTGTTGTTGTTGTGGTTGTTGTTGTGGTTGTGGTTGTTGTTGTTGTTGTTGTTATTGTTGTTGTTGTTGGTTGTGGTTGTTGTTGCTGCTGCTGCTGCTGTTGTTTTCTAACTTCGCTTTGACTTGAGACATCTTGAGACATTTTGATCTAACGACATGCCATTTGCTTGGTTTGCTTGGTCCAGAGCTGGGGCGTCTGGATTTACACCGTGCAGTTTCCATTTCCATTTTCAGTGATTCTTTGCTGCCTGGATGCCCAGTTGCCGGCGCTGAGGGTCAGTGAAGAAATGCGTCCTTCAAAAGCTATGCAGCTATGTTGAAGACCCTGTGTTTAGAATATTTTAGAATTATATAAGATGAATTAAGGCACGAACAGAATCACATTGCTTTTAGAGGGACAGTTGAGGAGTTTTGCACGCAATCAATATAGGCAGTGATGATGGGAGGCCCTGGGCAAGTCGAGCCGCCAGGTTTTATTCCTCAAACTCTGTCACTTAGGTCCGAATGCTCGTAGGTCCCAAATGCATCGAAGGGGCGGCCAGGAGGGTCGGGTTCACATGTGAAACAGGCGAAACAGATACAGCATCTGATACATCGTCAGATCCCAATTGGGAAAAGGAATACAAAGGCTATGCACACTCCTTCATCAAGGAGACTCTCACAGCGGATGCCTACTTCACTGGCTACATTGCGGCAAAGACTTTGCAGCACGAGGAAATTCTGGACCGTTGCGAGCTACTTCAACTCAGATGTACGGTTCTTGCCTTGCTGTTTGCCATTGGATGCCAGTTTTTCCTGATTTCTTGGATGGGCATCATTGGCTTTGGATACAGCATCCCCGATCTACTAAAACCAGAGACCTTCCACCCGATCGTCAATCGTGGCTTGCTTTCGGTTGGGATTTTTGCCTTCATTATGCAGTGCTTAGGAGAGGATTACAAAGTCCAGGTCTATGATACTGCACTCTACTATGTAGACTACACCGAGAGTAGCTTTGAGATGGTTTCTATATTCAAAATGGCGAAAAAGGTGGTTCCACTCCTCTTGCAGGCATCCGGACTGCTTGTCCTTATTCGATCCAAGGGCAATCTGGAGATTATTTTGAACTGCACTGCTTTAGCATTTGTTTTCGAGCTTGATGATTTGACGCTTGCTGCCATTTGTCCGCGCTTGACTGAATCGATGTACATAAGGCGAGAGGAATTCTTTGCAGGTTTGGCAGAGAATGCTGATAATGTCATCGCAACAGGCAGCTTTGCAGGCGGCCACAGAGCCCTTCATGCTCCTCTTTTAATTGTGTTTGTTTTTGTCCTGTCCATAGTCATTCCCTGATGGTATCCCCTAGACCATGAGATTTTAACACAACTGTTTTCGCATGAGCTTTGCATCTGACCTTGAGCCCTTGTGACAAGATGAAAAGGCATTTTTGTGCATCGTCGCCATTTTGCAACTCCGTTTGGCCGGAGTCCATTTCGCAGCTTCATGGGTTGGATTCACTCTGACAGTTTTTTGCAATCCTTTTGTATTTTTACCATTGACTCCACAGCGAGGTTGTGAAGACATTCAGGGATTTGACTTCTTGAAGCCCATTGATTTCTTCATTTTGATGACGCCACAAATGGTACTTTTGAAGTCCTTTTCACAAAACTTTGGGGCATCGCGGCATCACAGTTCTTTTTCTTAGCACCAGACCCAAAAATACTTAAGGCAAGACGCCTTGTATAGTTAAGAACTGATGCCCTGCTTTTTGGTGACGGCAAGAAACATCCGCAAGGTGGACACCTGACGGGAGTTCTGGCAGCAAACCATTAGACCCTGACAACTTTTTCCGAATACAGTCAAAAGAATTAAATTATCAACGCCCTTCAGGTGTCCCGACATGGACATACAATCAGTAGCAAATCCAGACTATCCAAACATCGCGAAACCAACGTATGAGGAAAAGATTCCAGTGTTAGACAAGACCGATTAATGGTTTTGTTGAGATGGTTTTTATGTTGAAGCTCAACCACACTCCACAAGTTCCAGACCCAACCCAAACTACTTAAAGAGAAGACACCTTGATCGGTAAGTCGTAACTGGCAGAGGATACAGAGACATTCAACAGACAATTTTGACATTGAAAATCAATCCAACTCCTGATCCAATCAACCCCAACATCCTCAATCCTCAAATTAGTCCCAAAAATACATAAAGAAAGACACCCTGATGATCATATAGAGTATATATATATATATATATGGGTATGGGTCAATACCTATTAATACCATTTTTAGGGGGATGAACATCCATTTACCAGCTATTTTGATGTTCACCAGGGGTACAAGGTTTTGACACACTGCCATATATATATATATATATCTATATATATATATAGATTATAAATGATGATAGAATAATGGCACGATCACAGCAGATTGTTTTGGCTTCCCTTTTATCATTTGTGTAGGAGTTTGAACCCCTGTATCTTCTAATCTGTTTTGTTGGTCTCTTTTCACATACAATTATCCACATCCACACTGTTGATGGATCGGATGGGTCTTGTTCCTTTGCGTTCTTGAGTGTTTGACTGATTGATCCGAAACCCATTTCAAGATTGTAATTTACATTGCTTATGTTGTCATCTCTTCATAGTCTCCTTGCCATATATTCTAGTGTTAGATCAAGATAAAAACAGCATACAGTGTAAACAATACATAAAACAACCATATAATTGAAACAAAACATGATATGTCCAATAATCTTATAATGAGTGAGTGTATCAGCATGATCAATAGAAACCACCCCCACTGGAACCATTTGCTCAAAGAAGTCGTTACAGTCTGTCGGAGGTGCTCCAAGAGGCAAAGGACTTTCCAATACATGGAACACAAACTTATGGAGATGGAAAAGCACAGTATGAAGAGGAAGAAGAAGGCACATACTTTCACCTAAAAGAGTTGAAGGAACATCTCAAAACTCTCCCATCTGATGAAAGACACAAAGTGAAGGGTTTTGAGAGATTGAGGAACCTTGACAATGGACAAGACCCTAATGAAGGAAATAATGAATCTGATACTGTTATATAAGCAAATTGGAAGAACATGAAAACCAACCTGAACCCACTGAAAGAGAGCCCAAAACTACTTAAAGAACAGATGACTGTGTTTTGATGTATATTAATATATATATATACACATTGCATGGCAGTCGAGGAGCTGGCAGAAGTTTTTTTGGCAGATTTACCTACCTTTTTTGCACAGCAACATTGGGAGACAGGAAACTTGGACTGCCGATGATGCACCAAATTTGAATGTCAATTATGAGACTAAGCCCAAAATTAGAAGTATGGTTTTTTTCAGACTGTCAGACCTTATTTTGCAATGTGATGACCTTCACAGAGCCTTATTTTGCTCAATTGTTTCACTCTTTTTGAAATGGGCGCAAGCCGTCTAAGCTGGGCAGCTGGGCAATGCTCAAAACCTCACAGACTTCACCGAGCATGAAATGATTTGTGGTATAACACTTCATTGAGAATGAAAAGATGGGGGAACCCCCAACCTACTGCCATTTTCAACAAATCTTGGGGAAATATGAGTCTTCAAACACTTTAACCCATCTCAAAGCCATTTCGTGTCACCTTTTTCCCGTCGCCTTTAGCACGCAGTTCCCAGCTTCCCAGCGTGCTTCAGGTCAGGCTAGTGGCTGCGGAGCCAGTGAAAGCTGGAGAGGAGCTGTTCACTCATTATGTGCGGAAACCTAGGCGGAGCTCAGGAGTGATGATTCGGAGATGACATCAAAGGGGCTTTCTCAAAACCGGGATCCCCCAAATCATCCATTCTAGTATTTTTTCAGCCATGGTGACTTGGGGATCAGCATTTCGGACACCTCCATATGAGCTATGGTCAATACTCATGGTTAACCATTAATAGGGGCTAGTCATCCAATGGTTCATAGGGATTTATAATAGCCATATATAACCATTAAATAAGGATCCTTATTGTGGATGGGATGACCATCAACCATGTAGTGAGTATTGACCCCATTGGATGTTCGTTGTGTCTTCAGATGACTTGACTCACTCTAGGTGGAGCTGCGACTTCATAGAGAGGAGAGAAGACAGCAACTCCATGAGAACTACGGTTTCTGGCACTTTGGCAGACTTTGGCAGACTACCCTCTGGTAAACTAACATAGCTATGGAAAATCACCATTTATACTGAGTTGTCCCATGAAAAATGGTGATACATATTTCTGAATGTTCTCTTCTCATCAGCTGCTTTTGTGTGATACTCTACACACTCAAGGTATCTCAAGGTGCTGTTTATCCAGAATTGCTACGTGAACCATTTCTGTTTGCAGCAAAACACAACATATTGTCCAATATTCCCTGCCATAACTTACTTTTAGCGAGTACAACTTATAGATATTTATACGTAGCATAAATAGGAGTGGTTCAAATTATCCTCACCCCAAAACGATTTTACTTTATTTTATTTTATTTTATTTTATCATCATCATCATCATCATCATCGTCATCATCATCATCATCATTGTGAATTACACGACATTACCATCAAAGTGGGTGGTATAAACCATCATATGGGTGGTTTACCATCGCTTTGCTCACATCACTATTATCATTGTAATCATAATCATTATCATTTAATCCAATATTATCCCAGATCGTTGTCCTATAATAACATTGAGTTACACGACATTACCATCCCAGCCCAAGCCTATTATGAGCATCCCAGGTGCGACTGCAAAGCCTGCTCGGAGCCCAGTGAGGGAAGCGACCGGCGAAGGACCGGAGATCCAAAGGGCAAAATGGGTACCACCAATATGAGTGAGTGGTTCATACACTTTTTACATCTTTTTACCCAGTTATACCATGTTATACCCAGAACAATGATGTGACATTGGGTGGATGGTTATTTAATGTTATTGGGATTTTTGCCATTTTTTGCCCAGCAAAATGGGGGACGTTACCCTCTGCTATCATCCCTTCAGGACAGAGATGAAGCGCCGGGAATCCCAGAGGAGCGATGGACTGCGACGATGGCTGCAGCGACGATGGAGCCGCCATTTTTCCACGGGAAAATGCGATGATTTTCCCATTGAAACACATCATTTCGTCATTTTAAGCTGCATTGCTGAAAGGGGAAAATTGAGGGATATTGCAATATATTGACAAAGAATTGCCATTTCAGGAGAATTGGGATAAATCATGATCAACCATTATTTTTTTTCGGGGATATCTCATTGCCATGTTTGATGACCGAAGGGATCATCGGGGATAATCACAAGCAAATTCATGCCTGATGTGAGCTTATGATGGATTTGAGATCACGAGGGAACTCAACATAGGGCCGCAAAGGCATTTATGTGACATGTCTTAATCCGCGTAAGCTAATAAAGCCACTTGGCGTTTTAAATGCTGGACGGCACATGGTGAAGCCAACCTTTGCATTAAGGCTTCGTTTGTAAGCTCCAGTGAAGCCTTCCGAGCACTGTGTAGACCCCACACAAACACACAAGACGCAGCTCAATTTTCTATGAACCATTTTGAAGAATGTGTGATGATTTGATAAACCAATGTTCAGGCGAAAAAAAAACAGAATCCGTTCAACCTGTGTCCATTCCAATCAGAACCTCTGTGTTGGATAGCTTTAGGTGTCATGGTCAAAAGTTAGATTCTATGTGTATATATAATTATATATGTAGTAGTATATATATATACTGTGTATATATATATATATCCGTATTGGAAAAGGGTCATACCACCGATAGGACAATTACAATATCTTATAGCATTTCTATTTCGGATTCCCAAGGCCAGGACGACCACACCCCATCACCCAAGGTTTAGATGACTCCATCCGAGTGGATCAGCAAGATCGTCTCAAGAATATGGATCGGGGTGAGCGCGTGCAGAGCTCAGGAAACGGGTGAAAAAAACGAAGATCAACAGCCACCAAAACCCATGAAACACATGGGATGCAAAGGGACAATTGAGAATACATGAAATTGAATTTTGGAAGTGTAAAATCATGGTTACGAGATATGTTAGTTGATGAATTACAAACTTTTTCAGATGACGCCTACCAACTGAGTCCGTGAAGCGGGTCCTGAAACTCTTTGATCAGGAGAAGGGGGTTCGAACATGCTCAGCATGGCAGTTTTGCCCAAAAATAGGATAACCCCTCCAAATCCAACAGGTTAAAAAGCATATTTTCTTCATTCAAAGCAGCAATTTTGGGGTGTATCATATCTGCTGGACAAGCCCAAGTCCACGATTTTTTGGCTTAAATCCCTACTTTGGAGGGTAACATCTCCCATTTTGGTAGATTTAATCCCCATTTTGGTGGGCAAAAATCCACATGTTGGTTGGTTTTCTCCTCGTTTCTGCAGGGTTTCTTCCATGTTTTCGCTGCAGGAGGGTCTCCACTTGTTGACCTGGCGGAAGTTGCAGGGATTCCAAGATTCCAAGCTGTAGCAGAAAGCCATGGTTTTTTGATGCGAAAATTATGATCATCCACAGTTTTTTTTTTTTTGTGGGGGGGGGGGAGTTTGCCATTTCCAGACCCATTATTTTGTTGTTTGGAATCCAAATCCACCGATGTCCGAAAAGTCTAAGTTTTCACAAGCATGATGGGATACTTTGGGATCGGTTCACACAACCAAGCTTGATGGGAATGACCAGCTCAGCAATTTTTCAGCTGGAAAATTTGAAGGCACTGCCTCTCTGGTATGGAATTTGCGCTGCGGAGAGGTTGGAGGGCTGGAGTATGTTGCTCAAAAACACGCAAACATGGAAGATGCCGAAGGAAGCATTGAGAAGTGAGTGTTTCATAGGGTCTTCAGCTCAATCCAAAGGGGCCCAAAGCATCAGAATTCTCTCAGCGAATGGGTGCACATTTTCCTGCCAGGTGATGTCACAGCTAGCATTCGCTGGGCCCGGAAAGGCTATGAAAATGCAAAGTAAAGTCCTTGGCTAGGAATTTTGTGGACCATTCTCACCGCTTGCATGAGAATTGCATAACTAATATCATATCATTGTCATTTCCGAGGCTGGCTCACGGTGAACATCACCGAGATACGATGTATCTGGCCGCACTCATGAAGGACCTACAGCTTGCGACGCGGAAAGAACTGTCAATTGAATTTCAGAGAAGAGATCAGGATGATCCGAGGTTTTGTCGAAGCCAAGCAGCTAGGACCCAAGCAGCCACCCTGACTTCGAGTATCGCACGGAGAGTGCCGGAATGCCAAGGAGTTGTGGCCTCCAGCCGTGATCCGCTTTCAGCCCTGTCCCATGTTTGGCCGCTTCCCAAGGCCAAGAATTGGGGAACTTGGGTGGTTGCAATGTGCGTTCTTTTTGCCACTAGCTCAGAATGCTTCAAAGGGGCAGGTAAAGCACATGTTGACACTTGCGACATGTCGTGACCTTTCACCTATTGCCTAGGTGATCCTTACCGTCGCCTATGTTTGAGCAATTAAAAAAGTGCTGATCGGAGGACACTCCTGCAACTCAGCACCAGAGCCACCGAGAGAGAGAGGCTACGTTGGCATCCGATTGGCATCCTCTTACTGTAGCTGATTCTGCAATGATTTGGGCTCTCAGAGCAGGTTTACTGCCTTGTTGCTGCATTATTTTCAGTAGACATTCGAACTGACAGGCAAGAGAGAAGGATCAGAAGATGTAAAGACTTCTTACAATTAAGTTCCATAGCTACTTTTTCCAACACTTTTCAGTTGTCATTTGTCACTTGTTGATTCTTGTGCTTTCAGTTCTCAGAAAACCTGCAGCAATGGCAGATTCCAAGGTGCTACTGTTGGTGTCATCCATTGGAAGTTGGGGTCAGATATCACCAGAAGAGAACACCGACACCGCTTGCAGCATGGTCCCAAATTCCCATCATTCATTCAGCAATGTTCAGTAATGATAACTATAGTGTACCATAACAATGGCCATGATAACTACGTATGTTTAGTAATGTTCCCAAATCTATGGCAGAATCTATGGTGCAACATCAAGATGAACTCATTCCTAGATCTAGAGCCCTAGAGCGGCAAAGACGGATGTTTCACTGGCGATGCACAACCAACGGATGAAGAGATAAACAAAGGATGTAGGTGAAGGGTAACGAATTAATTTGTATGTTGAAAACTCAGGTAGCACATGAACTCATGGCAGTCCTTTGATTTTGTAGAGAAACATGAACAACCACAAGAGTGCCCTGAAGATTCTGGGACATGCATCAGTTCTGGGCTCATCGACCAGCTCTAATATCCAAAGACCACTTGCCATGGAATATACCCATTGAGTCATTGAGGTATACAGGGTATACAGTTTGGCTAAACACAACTTCTATGAGAACATAGAAGAACCATCCAAGATTTATCCCAGTCAATTCGTATTGATTATGCCAACTATCCCTATATACTGATCAATCTACCGCGATATATATGGTCCCTGTTGGATCCTATTGGTATATTTAAGCCACATCCGATTGCTGAATTCCAATGAATCTTCTAGCGGCTAGCAAAATCTAGCAATATCCCATCTCCATATGAGATGCCACCCAAACGACCACAAGGTTTAGTATTGGATCTATTGATATTAGGGTCCCAGTTATGCGGGCATATTGAATATTCCATTACCATTATATAATTGCTGGTTCTATCGTCCCTATTTTGCTGGTTTTACCACCCCAAAATCCTTTGTGAGTTAACATTCGGATGTCATCATTGTTGCAGGTGAAACTCCCGTTTTTGCAGGTGAAATCCATGTTAAATCCATGTCAGTGCCGCTGAAATCACCTTATTTCTGTCGTTGACGGCGAGCCGCAGGTCCGTGGTGCTGTGGGAGCCGCTGCGGCCATTGTGCTGATCTCTCGCGTGCGCGATGTGGCGTGGTCGCAAAACAAAGCCCTGTTGGTTCACGATTATTAGTATATGGGTTTGTCTGAAAATAGGGTATATTCCCAATTATTAGCCATTTAATAGGGATAATGATCATTAACCATTGGGTTTAGGGGTACACTATTTTCAGACACACCCATATCCAAGATTAATTGTGGATGATCACAATTAACTTTATATTCAATATTGGATGATCACGATTGAACTGGGAATTAGATTGGGGTAATGTGTTTTTTTTCGCAACAATAACATCATAGTAAACTAGGAGTAAACCATAATAGCCCAATAGTTTAATATGCTAAACCGAAACCCAATGCCATAAAGCATCCAGGCAACCAACCATGACTGGGAGTTATTGTACATCACAAAGAGAGGGATACCCATCCGGTAATCATAAACCGGGCTGGCTGGAAAATCACCCAAATTTATAGTTGGGTGTTCCACTGAAACCTCCATTTATATGTACCCTCTGGTAATTTAACATAGCTATGGAAAATCACCATTTTTAATGGGTAAATCCACTATAAATGGCCATTTTCAATAGCTATGTTAGTTTACCAGAGGGTATATACTGTATATATATATATTATATTATATGATATTATATTATATTATATTATATTATATGATATTATATTATATTATATGATATTATATTATATTATATTATTTTATATTATATTATATTATATTATATGATATTATATTATATTATATTATATTATATGATATTATATTATATTACATTATATTATATTATATTATATGATATTATATTATATTATATTATATGATATGACATTATATTATATTATATTATATTATATAATATATATATATATTATATTTTTTCCACTGCCACGTTTGACTACCATTTTGGGTATCCAAAATGACTGATGACCTGAAAAAGTTTGGTGAATGAACATTCAGATGGAGGAATTGTCAACCGCCAAGGCCAAGGCCTTGGCTGTTGACAGATGGGTGGCAGCGGATTCCACTGGGATAACTTCGCCACGTATTTTTTTGAAGCCAGTGGGAGGGTCTGGGATTTACTATGATTTACTAAGAACATCCAAGAAACAAACAGAAAACAAACAGAAAATGATGGAAAAACAACCAGAAATATATCGCAATGGCCAGCATCTTCTACGTCCTACCACCGAGGTTCAGCATTTGCCGCGCCTGGTGTTGGACAAGGCCTGAAGTCATTGGTTCTTGAGGAACTGCACTGACCACTGGTGGTTTCAATGAAAGAACATCTCAGGGTCGCATTTTTATTTGATTTTCTTGAACTTACCATCTGTGATGTATTCTACTGTATTTGTTCTATATACTATTATATACTATTATATTATATTATATGTATGTATAACAATCCAACCTGCCATCCCCAGGGCTCGCCGACGCAGAGTCTGAAGATTTTGGCTTCTTCATTGGTCATCTATGGTCCGGGGTCCTGGGCCTGGGCCATGGTGGGCCCAGTAGAACCACCCTGGGACCCTCCAGGTGGTGCCCAAAATTTTTTCGGGGTGGCTCTGGTGGCTCTGGGTCCAAGTTTTTTCGGATATGACTTGACCCAATATAAAAAAATAAATAAAAAAAACCATAGTTATCATACATATACGTATATAAATATATATATATATATATATACACATATATATATATATACTTATATTATAGTTGGGTGAATAAACATCCCAGACCAGGTCATGGGATGTTCACCAGGATGTTACCCGAGGCTATGAGCGCTTTGTGGCGATGATCCTGCGACGTTTGGGGCTCACCCGGATGCCATCCACCCTGGCCGCAATGCTGTCCCTCTTCGCCGCCCTGCGAAGTGTCGGGAACCCCTGGCCGCTGCATGGATTCCACGTTGGCGATTCCACGTTGGCTAAGAAACCCCATCTTTTGATTAGGGGCTTGTTAGAGAGGTCATTTGGGTATGGATCAATACCTATACATACCATTTTTAATGGGATGAACATCCATAAATCCCAGCTATTTTGATGTGAACTACAGGGGTACTATTGGTTTTGACACACTGCCATTTTAGGTCCAAAAATGGGATGAGGATGATCCATTGATGATCCAACATTGCTGTGTTTTTGAAGCACAGGTCCAGAAGCTCCAGAACCGAGAGACCTCTGACAGGCTTGGTCGACTTGGCGAGCCAACAGATGGGGATCTGGAGCCGAGGCCAACACTGTGACATTCTTCGGACAATTTGGGGCCATCCAAATACTTGTAATTGGTGGTTTTAACCTGTTTCGACACGTTTTGTTTGCCTATCATTTGGGAGGATAATCCATGATGACTTAAATATGGAACATACATTCATGGAAGTACCAAGCAGAATGTGAAATTTGTTACCGTAAAGTTCTTTGGCTTTGCCATTCAAGCTCCATCCGCTGGCCGCCTCCGGCGTAGGTTGGCGGAACTGTTGAAGCCGGGGGTGGACTTCTTGGGAAAGTGGATGGGTCTTTTCTTGGCACCGGCCTCTGCTCCAATTCTTGGACTGGTGGACACCAAGAGTTTTGCAGAAGGAAACGAGAAAACTGAGTAAACCCTCATGGTATGTGTATATTAAGAATATTATATATATATATATTATGTATATATATATAATGTAAACACTCATGGTACATTAAACTTTTCACATCCTTCGATCTTTTCAGATTCATATCGTTGCATCCAATTGCAGGGTGCAGCTCCTGTGTTGCGGAGCCTTAGGCCCCGCCACTGGCTTCCTTGGATGCCTCCATTGCGCGACTGCCGCCCTACAGCTCCTGCCTCAGCGATGGTGAATCATAGAATTGGATGATGGGAAAATTTACAGGAAAGCCCTATATTTGATGGTAAAAACCATGGTTTCCTGTAGATTTTCCCTTAAACCAATCCAATGAGTGAAGCTATGAAACTGAATGTAGAGCCCTGAAATTCTTAAAATTTCAGCATGAACCCCCACCAAAAGATACCAAAAAACCTATTTCCGATGGGACATTCATTTCCCACATCTAGATTTGAAGCTTTGAGAGGCGGCAAAGTCTGGGCCAACACAACGGCACTCCTGGGCGTTGGTTGGGGTGCCACGTGAGGGCACTCAGCTGCCTTTAGCGCTGATTCTAGGGTTCTAGGGCCTAGGGGGCTTATACTATCCAAATTTATCCAATAGATTCGACATATTGGTGACAATTTATGGGGAAATCCACCACGATTTCGACGTTGTTCGGCATTGCAATGGATGCATCAGGCTTGGTTGTCCTTTCACCCGTACAAGTTGCTGACGACCTAGGCATGCAGCCGCCGCCGGGGTGGCATCGTCCCTTGTACCCGCAGAGAGGGCACCGTGTCTTGGCGGATGCAATCGGAATGACGCCTGTGATTGAGCGCATTTTGAATCTTGCTCGTTCACGCGCGAGTGTTTCTTGTTCCTGTACTGAATGGATATTCCCGGGCTCAGAAAAATGAAATATGTCAAATCAAATGTTCTTTCAAACGACTTTGACACCTGCGTCCACATGTTGTTTTGCACATTTTCACTGGCCGAAAACATAGCTTTGATTCATAAGTTATAGCACTTCCAAATGTAGCGTCCACATGGTGTTTTGCCTTGTTTTGCACTGTCTGCACTGACTTCCTAATGCGGTGCGTCACATGCTGTTTGTATGTTGTTTTGGGGATTGCACTGACTTTCACGTCCGGGCCCCCCAAAGTGAAATTTCAATGAAGAAAACAGAAAATTATGATAACTATTGATCAACCACGGGATTTTTGGGTCTTGCCATGATCTTGAGATCCAAATGTAAATGATGCTAGAATCCGCAGCACAGTCTCCAGGGCAAAGACAGCTGCTGCGGCTGCAGCCGCCCCGGTCACCAACGGAAACCATGAGGTGTCGGAGATGGCTATGGCAATGGGAACACCACCTAAACAACATTAAACAACTGGGTTAAGGTGTGATCTAGATTATATAATTACGATTATACCTATATATATATATTACATGATATATATATAATGGGTTGATTTATGATCAAACATGGGGGAATAGATCCAGGTGTTTCTTTTTGCAAGATGTCTCGTGCTTGGTATGACATGAGGATTTTCCAATAGCACTTTTAGATGAATGGATCTAGTACTTGTATGTACTTGTACCTAGCTGTACTGTATATACCTATTACATGTTGGCCAAAAGACAAGCCACGAATCTTGCGCCACGCCAGATTTCTCAAGAAGAAGCGGTTCGCCGGTCCTGGGTCTTGCTGGGTGCTGCTGGCTTTCTTGGAGTGTCCGAGAGCCAAGTGCTTCGCCAGTCGGTCGGAATGCTGTGAAAGAAATCCTCTGGTTGGTGGTTTCAGGATGTTTCCATATTAATTTCCCCATACATTTCCTGTAGACAAAACCATACCAATTGGATGATCCCAATTGACATCACCAGCAGTCCTGAAAGGTACATGAAATGATGCATCGAAGGGTGATGTCTATTCTGAATCAACCTCCGATTGCACAGAAGGCACAAGGTACCCTCTGGTAATTTAACATAGCTATTGAAAATGACCATTTATAGTGAGTTTTCCCATTAAAAATGGTGATTTTCCATAGTTATGTTAGTTTACCAGAGGGTAATATTCGGCACTTCTTGCCTTCCATTTCCACTGTACAGACCGGACTTGGGACCTGAGACCTTTGCAGAAGCCAAGTCTCACCACTGTTCATCTCATGGAATACAACTTCGACCAGTTGCAAAATAATGTCAGCAGGGACTGCCAATCATTTTGTTCTTGCGGTAGCCAGTTGATAATCGGTTCAACATGGTTCAACCCTGCATTTTTGCACATCAACAATCATCAATATCCCCATCACTATCTCCCTATCCCCGACATATCCTCATATCGTTGGGTACCCCAACACCGACGAGTTCATGTTGACCAAATTTTGTTGCTGGTTGGCAAAAATCGCCAGCTGCCTCCACACATGGACACAATAAGCCCCGACTCTTCAAGGTCACTTCTAATATCAATATAATATCCATATATATATATAATATATATATATATAATATATAAAATATATATATATAATATATATATAATATATATATATAATATATATATATATAATATATATATAATATATATATAATATATAATATATATATATATTAATATATAATATATATAATATATATATATTAATATATAATATATATATACATATATATAATATATATATATATATATTAATATATATATATATTAATATAATATGTATATATATATACACAATATGCATAGACACATGTTATGTTATATATATAAATACGTATAGGTATATGTTTCGATTGAAACCACCAAGCAGCCATCAGGGGATTAACTCCCAACAATGTCACGGCCACGCCAAGGGCCTGCTCACCAGCCCTGCCATTGGTGTTGCATCGACCCTTCGGGACTGTCACGTCTTGGATACCGTGGGGATACCGTGGTTACGGTAAAAAGTGGGTAAAACAATGCCATTTAAAAACCAGCCATGACTGGGAATGGTAAGTTTATACATGTTTATACCACCTATAGCCTATAACTATAAAAATGGATAAACATGGTAATGGCTGGTGCCAATGACATGGTTTTACCCACATTATTGTAGTTGATCCTTTGAAAGATGCCAGAAATCTGCCAGAAATCTGCCATCGCCGGCCGAAGCTCTGCCAGGATTCTCTGTGAAATGAGCACCACCGTGTGCTCCTTCTCCTTGTCCAAGCTGCTTCCTGATGCCGTGCAGGCACTAATTTATGCGACCTTAACTAGAATGGATATTTGTTGGATATTATATTTCTTGATATTTATTGGAATTTATGGTTGGATAACATTTATTGAATGGTTCCGGGATATTGGTGCTAATGAAGATTCATTGGATGATTCGTGGATCAAGTTTTAAGCATTTCCAAATTATGTCATCACAAATTCATTTCGTAGTAGTGTGGACCTGAGCTGACCATGGAAAGCGGAAAGCAAAAGAGGAAGAAAACAAAGACAGCACTTAGAATCGGATAGTAATTTAACATAGCAATGGAACATAGATAGCATAGATGTTTTGCCTATTGAATATGGTGGTTTTACATAGATATGTTCAATTAGCAGAGGGTAGTTGAGAATCACCATATCATTTTTTGTCAAAGATGGCAAGATGACTACACCGTTCCCGGCAGTACTTGCGAAGCCTCACACAATCTAGAGATGAACATGTCCCTACTGCCTTTACAAAGACGAGTTTTTTTTTCAAATAGGATCCTTCCTAGATGCCTTGCCCGTCGCCCAGCGCGTGCTGCATCCACTGGTCGTTTGCGCAGTCTCGTCCAATCTTGCGTCCTGCTGCCTTGTTTAGAGCAGCCATCTTTTGTCTCCACATGCAGGTGTCCTAAAATAGGACTACCGAAAACATCCCAAAACCATTGGTTTTCCCATTGATCATCAATGACTTGGATGATTTGCGGCCATTTGGGGGTACCCCATGACTTAGGAAACCTCCATTTGGATGGGCCTTTCGCCCGTGGCTTCGAAGCGCCAGGTCACGCTTCGTTGGTCCGGTGGCTCCCTATTTTGATGAGGGCCGAGGCGTCGGATGCCCCGGAGCGCCAGATGGTCTCAGAGGACTCAGAGGACTGCAATTGAGTCGTTACTAAAGTTACTAAAGGAAATGAGATAAGCCAAAAGATCAAAAAGTGACTGTTGTTCAATTAGATCAGCATTGACCTAAGTTGGCAGAGTTTGGATCTGTCGCAGCCAGCCACAGTGCTGCAGCAGAAGTTGGGATCAAAGGTATCTCCAAGTGGATCAAAGCTATTCAGGCTATCCAACAAGATGGGCATGATTTTCAGCCAAATCTGGGCACAATTTTTTGGCTTCACAGAGATGCGAATCTTGATGTTGGGAATGGATGCAGCTGGGAAGACCAGCATTTTGTACAGGTTGAAGCTGGGGGAAGAGGTTGAGCCCATCCCAACCCTAGGATTCAATGTGGAAACCCTGCACCGGGGGAATTTGCGTCTGATCGTGTGGGATATCGGAGGTCAGGAGCAACTGAGGAAGATTTGGACATTTTATTGCCATGGCACGAATGGCTTGATTTTCGTGGTGGACAGTTCCGATCATCAGAGGATCAAACTTTTGAAGGATGAAGTTGAGAAGATGCTGCAGAGGGAAGAATTGGCCAAGGCGGTTCTGCTCTTTTTTGCCAATAAACAAGATGTAGCCAATGCAATGAGTGTCGAGGAGATTATCCAGAAGTTGGACCTGGAGAAGTTGTGTTCGAATCGAACATGGTTTGTGCAGTCTTCAGTGGCCACCACTGGAGATGGTTTGTTCGAGGGTTTGGACTGGCTTACCAGAACTCTGGGTGAATCTGATGGTGTTGCTCGATGTACTTAGGACATCTTAGGACCTAGCTGAGCTGAACTGGATCTAGCGTAGATCATCCTAGTGTTCATTGATGGCTAATTGATCCATCTGCCAGAGAACCACCTGGGTAAAATGCAACTTTTCCTGGCTGCTGACAGCTGTACGGAAGGCACCTGGTGGCTTCAGTTGATACGGGGGATGTCATGGAGGTATTTTGGGCATCATGGGATTTTTGTGGCCAACAATCTATGGTTTTTGGCGTCGGAAAATAGGGTATACCCTCTGGTAAACTAACATAGCAATGGAAAGATCCACCATTTTTCATGGGAAAATCCACTATTTCTATGGCCATTTTCCATAGTTATGTTAGTTTACCAGAGGGTACCACAAAATTGCAACATTTTCATGGGGAAAAATGGGTGATAAGTCATGGGATGGAATGGGGTAGCCATTTTCATGCCAGTTTTACAGTGATATTGATATATGAATATACGGATATATATATATATATACGTATATATATATATATGTATGTATATATATATAATATGTGTATATATATATGATATATCAATTGCCGATTGACTTACCTAAGTGGTAGATTGTTGCGTCTTGCTTTTCCACAAGACGTTTGTTGGGAGCGTCTTTGGGTGATTTCATGTCCCTACTGTGGCCTTGCTCCTGTCAGCCATCTCCAGATTGAGGCCATAATCGTGGGTGGTTGCCACATGTCAACATGTCATTGTCTGGACATGTCTGGACCATGACACATAGAACAAGTCATTGTTAATTTATATGTTGCTTGTAAAATGTAGATGCTCCCTCTTCTGGCATGTTCTATCCTGTTCCAATATGGAATTCCACCTGAGTATTCCAGCATCAAGTGGTACCCTTCGCCATCATTTGGGTCTGAAAATAGAATCATTCTCCAAGAATCGACTCATCATCATTTTCTCATGAAATCCTATTGACATTGCCATTTGAAGCAGCTATTTCTGCCTCCATTTTCACCATTTTTTCCGAGCCAAGGTGGGAGACCGATTCTTTCAGTGGTTGCCAGCTGCAGTCACAGGCGCCCGCTCCGTTCCAAAGCTTCACAGCGCAGCAGCTGGGTTTCGAATGGATTTTTTCTATGGAATTTTCGGAATTTGAGGATGGACTTCTGAATGGATTATCTGATAGAATTTGGATTGTTGGAAGTTTTGCCCAGATTCATCTGTGCCCAGTTTTCCCTTGACCCGCAGGACTCGGAGTTCGAATGTACAACACCACTGACAAGTGGTTGGACAATGCTGATGACTTCAAATGTGTCGCTTGAAAATCACAGGAACTGTGTCGGGGGACGAGGGGAAAGATGGAAGATCAGTCCCAGGCATCCCAGGATGTGATCAGTCGCCCATGAGGTGCTGGCGACCTGTTCGGCCTCGGGGTGCTTGGCAGCCCAGATGAGTGAATCTATTGCTGGCCATGAGTTGAACATTGGATTGAACGATATTAAAATCATCAAAAATCATCAAAAAGCATCAAAAATCATCAAAAATCATCAAAAATCATCAAAAACACATTCAAACATGTTTGGGCTTGGGGTTGACATGCAGTGACTCTGGAAATCTGTTCGGCAAATCCGAGGTTTCTCGATTTTCCTTACCACCCTTGGGGCAGTGAACCCAATGTCTCCGCTCAGCATCCCTGCACCGGTGCGCCTGGGGGCTGGGATGTGACCTTGTACACATCCAGTTGATCCCCCAGTTCCACTTCGACAGAAATCAGAAATTCAGACATCCCGTTCCCCTAAATATCCCTAAATATAATTAAGTATATCTAAATCCTGAAGACGCAATAGAAGTTGGTCATGAGTTATTGATGCGACTCTGCGTCAAAACTATCGACCCGAAATGCATGGTCAAGTACCAAAATTATCGTTATCCTCCAAAATGGGTGTTTCAGCATTTTCAATAATGTTGAGTTTAATATCAGGTCCCAATGAACATCAAGCGTGACTAGATTATATCCTCAAAATGACCACGACAATCAATAAATACACAGTAACAAAACAAGTTAAATAGTGATTCTATCCTCAAACTGACCTGTATAGCAACAAATAGTGTTGAATAGTGACTACACTCTGGTAATTTAACATAGCTATTGAAAATGGCCATTTATGGTGAGTTTTCCCATTAAAAATGGTGGATCTTTCCATAGTTATGTTAGTTTACCAGAGGGTAAACCTCCATTTTCCTATGGTTTTCCTATGGTTTTCACTGACATGATATCTTCATAGCGCCCAAGCACCGCACAACTGGCCGTTCACCAAAAGTGCCGTGCCAGTTGTCTCTGCCATTGCTCCATCGCTCGGTGATGTCTGCCCTGGGCATTGAGGGTTCACAGGCGCGCAAGTCATGGGGATACCTGGAAAGTAAATTAATATAGCTATATATATATATAGTATATATATATATATAATCTAGCTAGCTAGCTAGCTATCTATCTATCTAATCTAATCTAATCTAATCTAATCTTATCTTATCTTATCTTATCTATCTATCTATCTATCTATCTATCTATCTATCTATCTATGCTACCCCGCTACCCCCCCAAAACCCACCCTTGCCAGTGTTAATGTTAACGATGAAATAGTATCTACAATTGATGTAACAAGGGTGCATACTGTCTTGCAAAAAGATTTATGTAGCTATAATATCAATGACGGGTGATGTGTTCATTATGATGTTGATGAACTGTGTTTAGGTTTATTGAATGGAATTTGAATGGTATTATGTATGCCGCCAAGTGTGGGTATGTCTGAAAATGATGTATGCCTCCAAATGGCCATCATAATAGGGAGAAGAATGATTAGTTCAGACAAACCCATGTGTCTATGGTCTTCTATAGTAATAACTGTCTTACAAATTATAGTGACAATAGTATTAAAAAAATGCAGACGATCTATGATAATGAATGTTGGTAAACTAAATAATAATAATGTTATAGAAACAAACATCAATAACAATGATGTATCCATAATGGAGGGAGGAATGGTAACAACGGTAGTAATCATGATGTCATCATGATACTATCTGGTAAAAAGAGTAACGTATCTCATGGGCGATTAATTAACCCACCATTTTATAGAGATCAATGTCCAACAAGCCCAAATCAATGGCAATCCCTTATGGTGATGTTTTCACTATTATGTTGATGGCGTGTCACTATGATCATGGGATGTTGAATGCGGTTTCAACTGATGACGCTGATGGGATTACAACGTTTGTTTTGGAAAAAAACGTAAAATAGGTGGAAAAAAAAATCCACCATGGATCCAAGAAAAGTTTTCTGGAAATCTAGGATCTAGGATCCATAAGTCACTCAGACTTGAGTCAGACTTGAAACCTGAAGGAAATTTTGGTGATCTATTTTTGTTGCATTTATTATTTTTCATATATTGATTGATTTATGATACCTAAATCCCCTCAATTTTGACTATGAAGAAAAGGTACCTAAAATACACTGAATTTACTGCACATACCAGTAACAAATGATTTTCGGTGTTTTTTTTTGGGGGGTACCATATATATATATATTTTGCTATATATAGAAAATGATATGGCCATTTAGTTGGATGTTGTACCAATTTTCATGGTTAAATTACCAGAGGCTTGAAGGGTAGGTTCCTCACCTGTCGTCATATCCTGGTTGATCTGCAGGCAATTGGCCCCGAGTGCGACCCAAAGTTGGCCGTGGCATCGATCCTCATTACGGGGTACCTTGGTCAAGTGACGGTAAAACTCAGCACCTGTCAGGAACCTTCAATCAGCAGCTTTCCTTTTGGAAAACAATTTTTTTCAAAGTCTATTGAACATGTAATTAGTCGCAGATGTCTTTGACACCCCCTCCATCGCCAAAAAACAACATGGGGTGTATTTCGGACTCTGAGTTGTGATCCCCATAATCATTCATAGTCCTGTCAGAAATCACCCTCATCAAGCCATCATTAAACCATGTAATATAGGGGATTTATGATCATAACCATTATTATATCCATCACCCCCTATGAGATGCCCATTCAATTCGCATTTTTCATGGACGGCAGCTGCATTGCCAAGATGCATTGGTGCCTCGTTGGGCAACAGCCTCTTGAACGCCTTTCCAGCCATCTTCCGCGCGTGGCTCGCCTGATATGGCCATTTTAGATGTGGAAAATGATGGGAATCCATGGGTTTTGCGATGGTTCTTGTGGATGTCCCAGTGGTCACTGTTCATTTTGCAGCGGTTTGGGCCCGCAATTGGGGCTGGTTTCAATATTCTGGACCAAGGGCCCCGCATCCACGTTAGAGGTAGATTGTAGGTGCTGAAGTTCTATTGTTTTCCACATTCTGGTGTATCTTCCCATTTTCCACTGGTTACCCATCCGAATTTACGTGATGGGTAACATCCCCCCATTTCAACCGAATAATCAACAATTTCATCCATTTGTTTCAGGCTAGTGGTCTCTATTTTATGTTGATTGTTGCCGCGTTTTTTCTGTATGGAGGTTTCCTAAAAGGGGGGGTACCCCGAAATCATCCATTTATAAATGGATTTTCCATGAAATAAACCAACCAGCTCTTGGGGGATCACCCATTTATGGAAACCTCCATATGTTTCTAGGGTATTTCAGTATTTCTACCGGTACATTTTTCTAGGGATTTCTATGGTATTTCGTCATTTTCAACCGGGATTTCTTTTTTCGAGGTCTTCACCGCTGGTCCGGGGAGTGGCCATGGGATGTTCTGCTCATTCCATTGGCACCGCCGGGCTCATTTCCCTGAACGACTGGGTTGGGAGGGGGCTATCCTGTGGATATAATCTGGGTAAATTATATTTTCCATAATATATGGGATGTCATCCTTCCAATTGACTTTCATATTTTTCAGAGGGGTTGAAACCACCAACCAGTCATATATGTGGGCAAATTATAACGACCTCACTGCGACCTCACTGGAAATCATGGTCAGTAAGGGAAATCATCCCCAAATGGCCTTAATTCGGGTCAGTGAATTATTATAATTTACCCAGATATAATGCCATGGCATAGAAATTTTTTTTCGTTTTTTCTATTCCGGAAAAAAAGACCCGGGAAAAATCTAGGATCTATTTTGGAGCATGAAAGCTGTGGATCTCTATGGATTTGAGGAAAGTGGGGATGATGAGGAAATTTGAAGACCCAAAGCTGCAGGATGTGGCCAACTGAAGCAGCCATCCGACAATTTGGGGGACCAACATCTTCACCCATAGCCACTCAAAAACAGCCTTTGGTCCTCTAAACTGGCAGGGAATTGCCAATTTCAATAGGAACATCATCTTCTTTTTAGGAAAATCCTGGAACGTGATGGTTTTACTCCTCCGGGTCATTGGAGATGTCCAACATCCAGCCGAGATGGATCCTTGAATGGATACTATAGTTATAACACACACAGACTGACGAATTTTTAATTGTGGACTGACTAATATCCATAATAGTATTTAATAGGTACTATCCACCACTAATCACCACTAATTTCATGGATACTCATATTTTATGGTGAACTTTCCAGTCAGATGTCCTGGAACATGTCTGAGTTTCTTCCAGGACACGGAAGCTGCAGCCATCTCTGGCGCATCCATGTGACGCGGCGGCACTTTGTTGGGTGGCGACCTTGTCTTTTTTTCCCCCTAAAATCATCCAACCTGTGATACCTGTGTCATTTTGAAGGCGACAACCATGGTTTTTTTTTGGGATTCGGGACCCTTTCTACCACAGTTTCTGGATGGGGATGTTGAAAAACTGAACGGGGAGGGGATGAATCTGCGCAAACACCTGGCATCCACAGCGATGGTTTAAACCGCCAGGTGTTTGGCGGGAACAATGCACACCTTGGTCGGGCAATCTCAGTGCGGTGAGAGACTGTGGCCTTCGGAGTCTATAGAGAATATTTTGGGGTATGCTCAGACAATGTGGTGGTTTCCAAGTCGTGGATTTTCTGATTCCTTACCTGTTTGTTTTCTATAGCTGAAGCTTTATTGCTGTATTTGGTAACCAGCAAAGGTACCAGTCCAGGTTGAAAATCCCGCAGTCTGTGCAAGTTGCTGCCCACGTATCAGAGGAAAGCATGGCGGAATCACTATACTGTACACTTACATTTGGGTGTGTCTGAAAATAGGTACCCCTAAACCCAATGGTTAATGATCATTATCCCTATTAAATGGCTATAATTGGGAATATACCCAATTTTCAGACAAACCCATTTATTTAATGGTCAATGATTAAGTTACCACGGAACAATTTTTTGAGAACCAACCCACCAAATCCATCCAAATCCAAAGGTCCGGAACAAATACGGCCTTGTTACGTAATATGGTGGCCTTATAGACCTCCATGGACCATCATTAAAAAGCAAGCCATCATTAGCCATCATGAACCTCCATGGACCGCGTGGAAACCGTTGCGCGAATCGCAGACGTTGAGGTGCTCCAGTTGCCGGGCGTGGTCACGGGCATCCGCTCTTTGGCGCCTTGGCGATGGAATGGCGATGGACATCATCCAGAACATATTTATCATGTGTATATACAGATATAATTTGATGGATAGTAGTCTATATAATTACATTGTTACATATATATATATATTCTATATTATTCTATCATCATTAGTCTTTGATAGATGTATAATGGATGATTCTTTACCTGTTTGGATATGGTTAATAATGGTTAGCATCACCAAAGAATGACTTCGCTCTTGGCTTTTTTTTGCCGGAATCATCCATGTTAAACTTGGCGATGACGATGATGCTTAATACCAACTATGAAGGATGATTCATGATATGAACTAATTTGATACCCTCTGGTAAACTAACATAACTATGGAAAATCACCATTTTTAATGGGAAAATCCACTGTAAATGGCCATTTTCAATAGTAGTATCCAAGTCTTTGTTGGTGACCATTGGATGGATAACGATCATTGGATGGATAGCGATCAATGGACACTATGGGTTAGTGATATGACAAATCATCCAATGATCATCATTGCTTCGTGAGTTGTGTATGGGCCGGACCCAGACCCGGAAAGCTGAGATCTCACTTGGAGGATCATCCCACGGGTCGTGAGTGGTTAATAACCCCGGTGTAAGTCCTCCATTTCTGGGATCCTCGAAAGTTGAGGGTAGGTCCATGGCTAACCCATTACAATATATCACAATTCTTTGAGCTAAAGAGATGTGAATATGTTCACGCACCATGCGTTGTCATTTTGAACTCAGCACTGGCCATCGAGCCCGAACGTGCTGTTCCTGTTATTTTTGGACCACTTGAGGCCGGATTGAAATGAGGCAGGAGACCCAGTGGGCAGATGGTCAGCGGGTGAAAGACATCGGAAGCCCAAAATTCCACTTCTCTTCCTGCGATTGCAGGTGTTCTCCAGCAAATTTTCGAGATCCTGCTGGAAAACAGCGGATGGACTCTGACACAGGGAGCATGACATGGAATCAATCATGGGAGCACTTGTATGCACAACTTTATTTGGCAAATGAACATCAGTGATAATCCATTTGATATCAATGTGAGCACTTATGCTCTACAACTTTGTTTGTATAGAAATATCACACTGCGGATTCCTGGATGCTAGAATTTAGTTTTCCACTCCAGGCCAAAAAAAGGCCTGGATCAACAACATTTAATCAACTCCGGGTTGCATTTGAAACATGGTGTGAGGGCGTTGTTCGGCCTGCCGCACGCTGAAGAGCATTTGGTGTCTGAAAATGGGGTATACCTCAAGTATACCTCAAATTTATAGCATCTAATGGGCAGAATGGCGACAAACTTGCAAAATTTTGAAGATGTCCTATTTTCAAACCCATTTATCAATCCCCAAGCCGAGCAGCCGTTGCACCATGTGGCACAACCTGGAGTGGATTTTTCGGCCACGGCTCCGGAGCCGTGCCATCAGACCATGACCATATTCCGCGGAGAGAATGTTTGCAGCCTGGATGTTGCCAACTTGGAGGCTAGCTCTGGCTAGCTTGGTCTGATCAGTTGCTGGGTTGGCACCCACATGCAGTGCATGCAGCCACACACATTTTTGCCCACCATTTTGGCTCTGATAAGGATCCAGGGACAGATTTTGTGCTCCAAACAAGGGTTTGGCGCACCCATGGAGCTTCCAACTCCCGTTTTACTGGCTACAGGCCAGGGGCCATGGTCCACCACCCTTGGTGAGTGCAGGTATCATGAAGAGCGGAAACCTCGGATCTTCAGATTTTCTGAAAGACAAACAGAGGGTCTGAAACCCTCTCCAACTCTCCAAGCCTCCAAGTGGGTGCGTCTGAAAATAGACCAACATGGAAAAAACCTCCTGAAAAGAGCAATTTCATGCGACCAAGATCCATCAGATTTTGGAGAGTTTCCTGAAATTCTCGCCAGGAGCAGGTGAATCGGCCTCTCCAAGCCTTTTTGGCCGCGTCTTTCGGGCAGCCTCAGCAGCTTTGTCAGCTCCATTGCAATGGACGTCGGCAGAGTTTGTGAGGTGACCTGGCGGCACCTGGCCGTGGTGTTCGTAGCATGCGTACGTGCACGTATGTACCCATGTACACACTTGAACAGTCACACAGTTCTACCTCTATCCATATCCCAATCTCTGTCTCTCTCTCTCTCTCTCTTAGTCTCTCTATCTACTGTATCTCTCTATCTATCTATCTATCTCTCTATCTGTCTACCTCTCTATCTGTCTGCCTCTCTATCTGTCTATCTCTCTAGCTATCAATCTATCTAGCTATCAATCCAATCTAAATCCTAGCTAATCCAAGCGACTGGTAAGCTAAGCAGCTAAGTTCATCTACTTTAATCTGCGCTATATCTGCAATGTGTACCCTCTTGTCCTGGTTCCACCAGGCCTTTGGCGGAATTTGCTTTACCTGGCTCTGCGGAGTCGACGTCCGAAGATGACAGTGGGCTTTCCACCGCATTGAGTCCCAAGAAGCGGAAACGTGTGCGATTCCAGGCCACTTTTTTGGGGGGCAGGTCACCAAGCCTCAACATGCTGGAATATGCTGAAGCAAACCTGGGGTAGAATCCTGGGATGCGAGGTTTGCCCCTGGCTAATAGCTTTCTGGATCTTTCTTGAAACCTTTGGGATTCTACAAGCTCTTGGATGATCCTTTCCTCAGGACTAATCAGCAATAAACTCTGGCGCCAGCACGCCAAAAAGTCCTAGATGAATCTTAAAGAAGCAAGTTCATCACCGAACCATGGTCATAGGAAGTCACAGCAACTTGCTCTGTCACCAGATGCATGTGGCAAGCTGGCAATTCCTATGCTATTCCTGTGCCAGGAGCCAGACATTATTGAAGTCACCAGCTGGAAAGACGAGACGCGGCAAATGTATTTCAACTCAATTCAGCAGGACAGGCCAAAGTTTGAAGGGGGTACCAGGCGATTTTCCGCAGCCATGACTTTCATGACGTCTCAGCTAGGGATTCACCACGTGCCGTCCACTAGCAGCCGCCAACCAGGACGACCTCCTAGAAGATGCCGCTGAACTCCTCATGAAGCAAGTTCAACGCTTCTTTGCCTCCCGCTTTGCAGTGCTTGCAACCTCTACGGCTGCAGTGGCTGGCATGGTGCCTTGGTGGTAAAACAGTCAGGATCGGGGTAGCAACAGCAACACTTGCTGTTCGGATCAAAAACATGTTAGTATACCGTAGTGAAGACTGCAGGGTTTCCATTCAGTGTCTCCCTTCATCATTTTGAGAGACCAAGTGGCCCGACAGTCTTGCCATGACCAGGCGCTTTTGGGCATGAACGAAAATCTGAGCCTCTTGCAGCTCTGATTTGAAGATAACTAAACGAATCAAAAAAGTTTCACCAAGATTGGCTCCTGAAGTTGGAGGCCACTCAAATTCGCTTCAGCGAAGCTTGATCCATTCGAGAAGTGGAAGCCTGAGATAAAACTGACACATATAAATGGTACCAATCTTAGGGAATCTTAGTCACAATGCATGAAGATTATGAAGATTAGAGCTCATCACAGAAACATCTTGATGTTTTGGCTTCAAGAGATGAGAACAAGGCACGTCAATGCATGGATGGATGATTTTCATTGGCAGAATTGCCAAGTCATTTCTCAAGATCCAAATTCGAAGTGCTGAATCCATCACCGGCCAAGCAGTTTCGCCATGGATGGTCTCCCTCACACCAGTTTTGACAGACCTCTGCCTTTTGTGGTGATGAACCAATCTTGTCATCTGGTGCCGGTGGTCCCCCTGAATTCAACGAATCGCAAATCTCCAGGAGCGAGATTTCCCTTTTAGTAGAGATCTGAAGGTCTTTGCTGATCTTTTCCCAGAAGTTACCATCTGGTTATGACTAACATAGCCATGGAAAATCACCATTTTTAATAGGTAAACCATCTATTTCTATGGGCCATTTTCCATGGCTATGTTAGTCATAACCAGAGGGTACCAGAACTAACATCAGCTGCGATGGATGCAACCACCTGATCATTTCACTTCACAAAGCCTCGGATTTCTGTGGTAAAGCTCAGGGCACTACGCTACACGTCAGCGGCTTGTGCTGCAAAGTCATATCGAGGTGGCACAACATGCTGCTCATCTCTGCGAACGGATGCATCGGCCGACGATTAGACATACATTGAAGATCCAGGCGACACCATTTTATCGAGTCTACAGTCTACATGTACAGTTCAAGATATTCCAGATATTCAATTGCCTGCGGCAAGCAAGGCCATAGAGAGGTGGCCCCAAGGGAGTTTGATGTGCACCCTAGGTGGAAGCTGGAGAGGGAAGCAGAGAAGCAGAGAAGAAGAAGAAGAAGAAGAAGAAGAAGAAGAAGGAAGAAGGAAGAAGGAAGAAGGAAGAAGGAAGAGGAAGAAGGAAGAAGGAATAATTAAGCCTTGTGAAGAATACTCGACGTCCGAAGGAATATACTGCCTCCTTCTTCATACATTCATCCTTCCTCCTTCCTCCTTCCTCTACGTACGACCTGACTCCTCCGCCTTCCTCCCTTCCCTCCCGTCCTCTTCCTCCTTCCTCCTTCCTCCTTCCTCCTTCCTGCCTTCCTCCTCCTCCGTCGCTCCTTCCGCCGGCCTAAGAAGAAGCAGAAGAATCCTTCCTCCGTCCTCCTGCCATCCGACCCGACGGACGAAGGAATCGAATGACGAAGAGCGACTGAGCAGTAAGATGACGAAGGACGAATGGCCTACTACCTCCTTACTCCTGCCCGCCGTCCTAATGCCTCCTTACTCAGGAGAAGCCCTAATTCCGCATTCCTCCGTCCTAATTCCGCCGTACTCCTCCGCCTTCACGAAGGAAGAAGGACGACGTCATCTCCTGACCTCCCAGGCCAGCATCAGCCTGCCTCCGGCCGCAGGCCTACATGACGCGGCACGATGACGAGGACGAAGGACGAAGGACGAAGGACGAAGGACGAAGGACGAAGGACGAAGGACGAAGGACGAAGGACGAAGGACGAAGGACGAAGGACGAAGGACGAAGGACGAAGGAAGAAGGAAGAAGGAAGAAGGAAGAAGGAAGAAGGAAGAAGGAAGAAGGAAGAAGGAAGAAGGAAGAAGGAAGAAGGAAGAAGGAGGAAGGAGGAAGGAGGAAGGAGGAAGGAAGAAGGAGGAAGGAAGCAGGAAGAAGGAAGAAGGAAGAAGGAAGAAGGAAGAAGGAAGAAGGAAGAAGGAAGAAGGAAGAAGGAAGAAGGAAGAAGGAAGAAGGAAGAAGGAAGAAGAAGGATACTGTGAACTTCTGTGAACAAAAGTGCGCAAGAGCAGGGCCAAACAGGGATACTTTCAAACCAGATTTCATGAGCGGTTGACAAGTCGATCAGAGACGTGCTTGTAATTTGCTGATGATGTTCATATATTTAAAATATTATTTTCATGATGTCATGGTTTTCTCTTTGGAAAACGGCGCTGAGCAATCCGTTTGTTTCAGAGGTTCGAGCTGCGCGGACAGTAACCTCGAAATGGTTGAAATGCGCGCAAGTTTGGCCGCTTTTTCAACATCTCCAAGACTTCAGCACCACGGGAAGTCACTAGGAGATGTTTTCAAAGACATTGAACGTTTCAACTGCCGTAGAATAACTGTTTTTGGTTTTATTTTTGATTGATTTGTATCAAGTGTGAATTTCTAAAAAGGCTGCAAAAACATCAAGAGTATGATTACTTAAGATTATATGTACATGAGTGATAATCATTAATTATATACAAATAATAATAAATAAGATATATATATATATATCTATATACAATCATGTAGATGCTTATAGATATTCACGTCGCTTCGCGACGGCAACCGCCCGCACCGCATCGTTGGGCAGCCGCTCGTAACTGCCAATGATGTCGGCCATTGAGACCAAAATCATCGGAAAGTACCGATTGTCGGAAAAAAAACCGCGAAGAATTTGATAGCCATGTATAGCGGACCAACACAGTTCAAAAAATAACGAAAAACATGAAAAAACGGCGAAATTGCTGTTATTTACAGTGTTTTTGCGCGGTGAGAAGCAGAAACCACTGCAAATACCATGGTTTTCGAGGGTCAGGTGGCCAAAAACACTGTAATTTACAGTGTTTTTTAACCAACGTCAAAAAACACTGGTATTTACGATGTTTTCATTCACACCGTAACATAAAACAGCGTAATTTACGAGGTTTTTGGAAGTTTTGAAGCTAGCCGTCAAGCATGCAGAAAACAGAAAAACACTGTAAAAACCAGTGTTTCTGCTATCACAAAACGACGAAAATCAGTCCGAAAACGGGTCCAAAAACTCAAAAATCCGCCTCCGGGCCCGGCCACCTGCGGAACCGCAAAAAAAGATGTTGCAAACCAAAAAATTGAGGTCAAAAAGTTGAAAAACACGGGGTTTTTTCACTTTTCGCTTGCCGATTTTGGACGGGCGCGTTCACGAACAGGTGTCTTCCGTACTGTTTTTTACAGTGTTTTTTGAAGGCGAGCGTCACGACCTATCAAAAACAGGAGGTTTTGGACGAAAAATGCCCCCCCCCCCAGGTAAACTTGTAACCTTTTTACGAGTGCCATCCGGAAGATCACGCCCCAGCACCTTCGGTGCGGGCGGATTTCAGGCAGGTCATGAGTCACGTAGATATCTTCACCTGCGGCGCCTGCAGAGATGCAGCCACGACTCTCCATGTGGATAGTTCGCCCGAGGCACATTTGGCAGCGCGCCTGTAGAGATGCAGACGTACAAAGCGGGGAAAACAGTGCACAGCTTCAAGGGACTTTTGATTCTAAACATGGGATTTCACCAAGACAACATGGGGGGTACATTCAACAAATCTGCCTTTTTCTAATGGGAGGATTTCACCCAAAGAAACACGGAGCTTCTTGGGGATTCAACGGTTGGCTCAAGGGCGGGGCTTTGGTGTCACCCATTTCTCAGTGAAGGAGACAACCAGACATGTTGCCATTTCTCAGGTGGGGCAAAAAAAAACCATCCTTGAATCTGAATCTGAATTGGTCCCCAGCCAATACTAGTGTATTGTTGTATATCGATTCACTAGATCACGAAATGAAGTAGAACTTAGAGAAGACAAACCAGAGGCATCCGGAGGTATTGCTACAGGCAGCCTTGCGCTGAAGAGGTCGCTGGCTGCTGGACAGATGATGGGGACTTAGTTCCATCATGTTCCATCAATTTTACCGGAATTTTCCACTGGCTGAGTTTGTTGATGCATTAGTCTCCTGAAATACAATTTGCTTGTATGGGTATGGATCAATACCTATAGATACATTTTTAGTGGGATGAACATCCATTTACCAGCTATTTTGGGGTTCACTAGGTACCAGGGTTTTGACCCATCCCCGTATGAAGATCAGTTGTTTCATTCCCTCCCCTGCGCCGTTCCCATTCAGGGATGCCATGGATGACATGTCTAAGGTTGCAGACGCTAAAGAGCCTTCCGAGATGCTGTCCAGCTGTTGGGCGACCAAGTCTATATTTGCTGTGAGCTTTGGACATCCAAAAACATCCAAAAACAGGGTATACTACGGGTATATTACCCAATAAACACGTTTCAGTACGGATGGTGGAGACCCCCCTAGTCTTTCATTGGGTTCAGAGCTCCCCATGGTGAGTTTCTGCCACTCAGCTGCGATCACCAAGGCCACAAGGCACCTTTCAAGTTTGAGGCAGTTCGCCGAGATTTCTCAGGGGTTGGTAACTGTCCCATTTTGGGAATATTGGACATCACCTTATAGTAGCCATCTAGTAGACCATATTATACCTAATGGTTGGGTGATGTTCAATGGGGACATTTAATGACCCATGTTTCTTGCCATAATTCCTCAACGACAGAGCGATGAGATCGATCAGCAGATCGATCCCTGGTAGATCAACCCATCACGGAGAGGCAATGCGATGTTGCCATTGTGGGTGGTGGCGTCATTGGAGCATCGGTAGCTCTTCATTTGGCAGCGGCAGGCGTGGGAACGGATGTGGGAACCATGGTGCCGGTCATTTTATTAGTCGGCTGCTAAAAGAGAAATGATCAAACAGGTATAATCAGTATATATATATAGTTATATATATATAGAGTTATATAAACAGGTTTTCCAATATGTTGCAGATTGTTGCAGGTTTCCAATCCATTTCGGCAGGTAGCTTTAACGTTTTTCAGCAACGGCAGGTCTAGGAGAGAAGCGCGTTGGGAGCCCAAAAAGGCGCAAAAAGCAGCCAGGTGGGCCTGGCTTCAAGGTGGGTTTAGTGGGTTATACCACTGGCTTTAATAGGGAGATCATGATGATATATATATGTATACATACATATATATATAATCATATTATTATTATATATATACACATATTATATAATACATATTATATATCATAATAATGATAATGATAATCATGACAATGACAATAATAACAATGATAATGATAACTAATAACTAACTAATAATTGAGAATAATAACTAATAATAACTACTCATCAATCCTAGACTAGGAATGCCTCCGTAGCAACCACCTGCCGAATGGATTCAAGCCGCTTTTTGATGCTGTGAGCCCAGTTAGGACTTATTCATGTTCTCATGGCAACTAACAGACTTCCCCTACATGGGATACCCAAAATCAATAGCTAAGACATGCTAAGACGTTTAAAGTGGAACATGATCATGCACAGATGCTGTTAAGAAAGTGTGGGATTTCGGGGTTCCATTTTTTTCGAGGCGACTCAGCGACTCGGTGTCTAAAAATGGGCTATACACCCGCACATGGCAAGTTTGAGAAGACTGATGATAAACCATGACAAAACATGACCAATTGAGTCCCCAAGTGACACTTCCAGAAGTTTCCTCCCCCTACCATCTGGTTATGACTAACATAGCCATGGAAGCCATGGCCTATAGAAATAGATGGTTTACCTATATATATATATATAATATATATATATATAATAGCATGGTGATTTTCCATGGCAAACTGTTAGTCATAACCAGATGGTAAATCATCTATAGGATTTGTCATGATTTGTCCATGGAGGATCTCCCGAGGTCGTGGTCTTCGAATCCGACGCCTCCTATGCGCGCGCTTCGGCGCCCCGCTCGGCCGGGGGGATCCGACAGCAGTTCTCGCTGCCGGTGAATGTGGCGCTGTCGCTCTACGGCATCGATTTCCTGAAGCAGGGCCTCAAGAAGCTGTGCCAAGGATGGGTGTTCGATGGGTGGAGCGAAAAGTCTGGAAGATCCTCTGGAAAATGAATGAAATGAATGACATGAATGAAATGAATGAAATGAATGAAATGAATGAAATGAATGAAATGAATGAAATGAAATGAATGAAAGGAATGAAATGAATGAAACGAATGAAATGAATGAACTAATGGGGTAAGAATATTCTGAGCTAGACCCAGATGGAGAGATCGGAAGGGTGGTTGGGTCACCATCGGAAGTCATCAGGCTACTGTGACAGAAAAACATGCTAAGTATAGTAGATTTGTTTGAACGTGTCAGTAACTAGTGGGATCAAAATTTCCATGGCCGTGATTGACTTGCCAGGAGTGGACGTAGATGCTGACGTGCAGTTCAAGGTCCGCTGCATTGATGTGGGATGATTTGGGTAGAGATGGTGGGAGCTCCTGGAGTTGGAACAGAGGATCAGATTTCCTGATGATTTGTTGGGTACCAGGATTTTTGGAGACACGTGGGCTGCCTTGTTGTTATTTCTTGATGGCACTATTCAGGAGCATGGCTACCTGCTGCTGGCCACACCAGAAGGAGAGGCCAGGGCTTTGAGAGACGTGAACTTGTGGAGGAATGGTGAAAGACATCTTGGGCGTTTCTCCAGTTGAGGATAAAAACCATGCTGTTTTATGGAGATTTATCGAGACTTATGGACATGTTTCATGACTTTCACGCATTTTCACGCTGACTGGCCAGGCAGTCCTCAGAGAAAACAACGCGGTGCAACACGCGGCTGGTGCCTCGTGGATTCGTTTGATGGATCCCGGGGAGCTCAACACCAGGTCGGGCGCCGATCATCGCATCAGATCATTTGGAGATATCTTCGGATAACTGGAACGATAGGTGGAATGATTCAGATGATTTAGAGATCGTATAGTATGATATATCGAGATATCTCCTATATGATAAATGGATATAAATGGAATGATACTTACCCTTGAATGATTCACAATGATGGTTTAGTAGGGGTCAGTAATCCCTAAATGGCTGAGTTTGAAACCGCTGGAGGTTCTCCTGGCTCTGCACCGATGGCGTGGCCCTGGGGTCCTTTGGTGAGAGTAATGAGGGATACTTTGATCCCTGGGCGCTGCTGCAGGCGGCATCCTGCGGAAGATGAAAGGAATTATCATGGGAACTGTGGAGATTTCGGTGTTGGATGGCCCAAAACCCATTGTTTTTTTTTTTGAAGAGATGAGCTTGTGCAGGGGGCCTTGGATTGACATGGAGGACACCAGGTCACTTCCTGTGGATGCGAGGCCATGCGCAAAGCAGCAATGGCAAGAGGAGTTGAGTTTATTGAACAGCCTGTGAAGGGCTTCAGTATGCTGGGGTGCTCAGAGTGCCGTCGAATGGCTCCTTGGCCGATTGTTTGCCCCTCGTTGGATTTGGAGTGGGACTCAGTCCCGCAATTTGAAAAAGTCTTGGAAGTCAAGCAGACCTCAGGCTATGCAATAACCATTGCAAGTGACATGAAGTGACAGTCTAACATGGCAAATCATCAACAGATGATTCCGAATTTCATGCTTAGTTAAGTTACATCATGTTATATATGGTTCTATCATGTTATATCCCCATGATATTCCCATGACATCCCCATATCATATCCCAATGTCACTGTCATCCCTTGGGGACTCCCTTTGACGTCAAGGTCGGGCGGTCGCATTGAAGGCCTCCATTTGGGCGATGGTGCAACGGTGCACGCCGGTACCGTGGTCAACGCCGCAGGCGCCGTGCTGTTTCGAAGGGATCACTGCAGACTGGTACAGTGTTTTTTTTCGGTTCCAAAATTGTTCCGACAGAATTTTGACATTGACATCTCTCCTTCTCTCTCTCTCTCTCTGATTTAGGGAGTGACGACATCACAACATCACAATCAACTTTGCAAGACCTTGGGTTCTCCTTGTGTTGTAAGCAGCTGATCAATGCATAAATTGCGCTCAGGTGCCTTTGGCGGAAAAATGCTGGGAATCCCAGACGAAATAGGGAGGTCTTGGTCCATTTGGTCCTTCATCCCCAGGTCAATCATAATTTTCCCCTTAAGAACTACCTTATTTGGGGCATCCCCGTTTTCAGACACACCCAATAGATCCAATAGTGAAGTCAGTTGTGCCGTGATGTGCAGATATAGTTCAAGAAATAGCTATGGCCAGACATATTGAGCACTCGGCCAGAAATAATTTGGCCCTTCGGGAAATGGTAGCACTGGGAACCCTTCTAGCTGGAAATAACAGGCTTGACAAGAAACAAGAGACGCATATCCGAAAGGTCAGTTCAAAATGGTTTACAGTACAGTAATACAATTGGACATTGGTTGTGCGACAGCTTTCCTGGATGCTGCTGTCATCTGCTGTCGGCTGCTGTACATTGCAATGTGCATCAATGACTAAATGCCTTTCCAGCTGGAGCTAATCATGACGACTCGCCAAGGGTACAGATGTGTGGAGATGTTACTCCGCTTCCAGTGGTTCCAAGAAAGCCCGAAGTCTCAGCACTGGACCTGTGGCCTTTTATAGAAAGAGCTATGGAAGGACCCCTGACCTATGCTTATCTTGAACTCTTTAGTCAACATGCATTTTGGTGGACAACTTTGCTTTATTCAATTTATTCCACTTTACCATAGTAGTTGGAAAAAGTGGAGCTTCCTTCCACTCCAACAGAGCTTGAATTGTCTGGAGAACCCACCCCCCTTCTTCTTGGAAGGCGCTGCATGTTTATGTTCCACGTGGGTCAAGAGGCGTGGCCAGGGCCAGACAGGGTGAGGGAGAATTTGGGAAGTATGAATCCAAATTGACCAATGCTCGGTGCGGTGCGGATATTCTTACAGTCGCTTCGGCTGAAGTTCCACATCGATATGGAGGTTTCCCATTCATGGGGCCATTCATGGCCCTATGAATCATCCATTTATACATGGGGGTACCACCAAAATAGATGCTTTATAGGTACCCCCATGAAGCATCCTATACCAATAAATGGTACATCCTATAAATGGAACATCCATGGTATACCATCATTTTTACATCTATTATTTATTATTTTAATGGAACATCCTATTGGTACATCTATTTTTAATAGGATATCCACCATGAAATGGGGGCCCCTGGGAACTCTCCGCCAGGCATCCAGTGATGGTCATTTTCCGCGTCCTACGGACGATACACCGCTCACCATTGATTCCAGTGGAGCATATTTCCGTGGGCAGCTGAGGGGTCCTTTAAGGGTCCGAACATTGTGACCCGGCTGTGACTGGAGATGGATTGACTATGGATTGACTATGGATTGACTTACTTTGAAGTACGGACATCATCTTCTGTGAATTCCACGGTGGATGCAATTCATGTGGAATATGATTATAGATGATGATATGATATTATGTTCTAAGGATGAATATGTATTTGAGCTGGCTGCTAATTCTGCTCAGTTCTATTTTGACTGCCTTGCTGTGCGTTTCTCTTCCCTTGATCTTTGGCTGCCCCTTGTGTGCGAAGTCACTAGTCAATCTTGGTGTCTCAGAGTTACCGGACCGATTGGTTTCCCAGACTTTCAAAATCGCAAAAGCCGCGTATGATTCTAAGCGAAATTGAAGGGTTCTCCATGATTTTGGGATAATTTTGATAAACTTTGAATGGGTCTTGCCACATTCTTGAACATGACATAGCCAATCTTTCCAAGGTTCAGAAGGTTCTCGTGGCCGCTTCCTGTCTTTACCTCAGCTTTGCTGATGAAGTCTTTCAGAAAATCAGAGATTTGCAAATTTATCTGGGTCCCAAGGTATCAGAGATTTGCAAATTTATCTGGGTCCCAAGGTATCAGAGATTTGCAAATTTATCTGGGTCCCATGGTATCAGAGATTTGCAAATTTATCTGGGTCCCAAGGTATCATAAGGTATCCATCGGTATCCCATCCCCGAAACAACTTTGACCCAGGTGTGGAGTAGCTCCGCGGCCCGAGGACGACCACGACTGTGAAGATTACGAGGCGGTGGACTTTGTGGATCACGAGCTCTTTGAGGAGCCATGGGGTACCCATGGGGTCCCCCAAATTTGATGCCGGAAGTTTTCCCCCATTGGATTTTGACTCTAAAATGAGGTACCCAACAGTTTTGAGACAACCCATATCATCCCATATCTTGAATGGCCTTTCCGAGCAGAATCAGCACCTTTCCAAAGGGTTGGATCCCATGAGCAGTCTGTTGAAGTTTGGCTTATCGGTGAAGCAGTTTCAGCACCCGGTGGTGAACAACTAGGGCTGAAAATTAGGTTTCTCTGACAATAGGCGAATTCCAAGAATTTTCCCTACAAATCCAATGGTTGTTCGAAAAACAATTCAAGGTTTCTCTGATAATAGGCAACTTCCACATTTCCCTACAAATCCAATGGTTGAAACAGATTCGAAAAGCCATGAGTTCCCATAATTTCCCTGTTATTTCCACCATTGTATGGCCATATCTTGGGGAGTAAAGCCTCGGTTTTCTCCCTTTCTCAGGAGGTGATCTGGCCTGCCCTGGCGGAACGTGCTCCGGCCCTGGAGGTGGTGGGCTCGGGGGCAAAGGTGGGTCCCAGCTGGTTCAGGTGTGTCTTGGCTCCAAAGATTTCAATGATTTTCGATTCACTTTGATATTTTTTCCGTAATTGAATGAACTATCTGATGACTTAGCACATACCCTGGCAAGGCCATCAAGTTGGAATCCTCCTGGGCTGGGCTTTACGAGTACAACACCCTGGACCAAAATGGCGTCGTGGGGTGCGGACGCCCGTGGATCGGGCAGCCGAGCTGTTGACAGTTTCAACCTTTTCTTGGGGAATCGAGTATTAGTGGTGGCAAGCAAGGCAACTAAGCGGTTTTTTGGTGCGTCACAGCTTGACATTTCTTGACTCAAGATCGATGACTTTTGCATCTCCAAAGCTGGGCCATTTGGTTCGGAGCCGTTTATTTTGCATCAACAGCCATTTCGAATTTGTCATGGAGGTGAAAGGTCAAGTTTTTAATGGGCGTTCAAGGCGAGGGGCGTGACACCGTGTTTGCCAAGGGCTTTCCCTCAAATGACCACTCTATCCCCAAACAATTTGCAGCGTCCCCTCACAGCCTTTTCCCCCCGCCGTGAGGGGAGCAAACCCAAAAAACCCTTGAGCCTACCCCATGATCGATGACTGATGGCTTTTGAGGTGGCATCCAGATGTGCCCAACCTGATGATTGCTTGTGGCTTCAGTGGCCATGGCTTACAGCAGGCGTGAAACTCTGGCAGCACCTCTTATGTATGTATCATGTATATAAACTAAAATAGTATAATATATATAATTCAATATAAATTAATATAGTATAAGTATAATATAATATCACATAATATAATATAATATAATATAATATCACATAATACAATATAAAATCACATAATATGATATAATATCACATAATATAATATAATTAAATATATCATATCATATCATATTATAATATAATATAATATGATATAATATGATACAATATAATACAATACAATACAATACAATATGATATAATATAATATAATATGATATGATATAATATGATATAGTATAATATGATATAGTATAATACAATAACGTATACATACACACGTACATATACATATACATGTACATGTACATGTACATGTACATGTACATATAAATACATATCCACATATATGCACTTGCACGCCACTGCGACTGTGAAACTAATGTGTTCGCGTTTTTTTTGTTTTAATAATAGGGTATTATTGATCATCTCTGATTTTGATGGTTTATCCTCATCCTCCCTTTTTGAAAAGGCCATAAAATGCCATAAAGTGGGCCTCTGTCTGGGGATGCCTGGAGTACACGTTTTTTTGGAGCTGGCCGTTGTTTGGAGGCACCTGGCGTTGGTTGTGCAGTTGCAGAGTTGCTGTCCTTGGGGGGGTGCCCTGGCAGCCAGGGCATGGACAGATATCTTGAGATTCTGCTGTGAATCAGATTTTTTGACTTCTGAATTTCCTGAATGCTGGTACAACTGTGCACTATCTCAATGCAGTCTATCAGCACCTTCATGACACGAAGGCTGCACAGAATATCAACTTCCTAGCATTTCTTGGGCTATCAGCATCTGAATCTTCAATCCAAGGGTACGCTACCACCATGACTCACAGCCATTTGCTTAGGACATGACCAGAAAACAACAACTGCCATCTGCTGCCCAGGTACAAAAGCATTGACCTCTCCATCTTGGGCTACGACCGCATTTGCCGCAATGAGCCGGTGCTGGAACGTGGCATCTATTGATTTGGTGATCGCTGGTGATTTGGCCGCGGTACAGCAAGCGCCACGAGAAAAGGATCTGCACTGGCATCGGTTCAAGTGACATGAAGCGACTGTAAACAAGATAGTTATGATTTTTCACTCTTGATTCTGAATGATTCCAATCTGCGTGTTGGAACGAAATTGTTCTTGGCAGATGCGCTTCTCAAAGTCTACCTGGACTTGAGGGTCATGGTTCAGAATAGCCTCAGAGTGTCATTGATCAACAAGATCAACAATCCAGTCATGGAATATTTGACAGCCAGGGGCCTTTGTGCTTAAACAAAAGCCACTGAGACTGGGGTGGGGTGTCTTTGTGCAATGTCCAACAAAGGTTGATGATGGTCAATGATGTGTAACGATGTTGTGACGATGTTTGTGGCTCAAGCTGCGCGGGCTCCCAACCACAAAAATGGAGGCGGGGTTCATTGCTGCATGCAGACTCTTGTCCAAACTGCAGCCTGACTATTTTCATCAGTCGATTTGGTTCCAATCCCGCACAATCCCCCAAAATTTACCATGCTGTTAGACATGCAAGGGTTCTTGAGTTTTTTGAGCGCCTCCCATGGTAAAATTGGGTAGATGGTAGAGTACATGTGACATTTTGTGTGTCTTTTGGTTTACCCCATTAGTTTTCCCTTGTACATCCCTGCGGTAAGGAGATGAAGAGAGAACATAGGTTGAACCGTTTCCAAGACATTTTGATATATGTCCTGTCCTTCCAATGTGTGAAGATCCTTTGGGGATACAAGTTTCCATAAGTTTCCAGTGAAAATGCTCCAACAGATACGGTTCCAACAGAGTCACCGTCCAACACCGTGCCGGGCACCACCGGCACCAGGTGGACACGGAGTATCCGGGAACAGCCGTTGAGCGCCTGAGAAACATTCAGGCGTGGCCCCACATCTCACAATGAATGTAGTAACCATTGATGAACCCAATTTTGCTTGGATTTTCCACTGATTTCAAGCAGAATGTTATGAACAAATTCAAGTTGGAGGATTCTAGTGTCATCCAAATATAGCTTTCGGATGCTTTCGGATGCTTTGGGAATGTGATTCCATATATTCCATGATGTTGGCAACCTTGGAACAATCCATGAGGAGCGCGTTCGAAGCTTGAACTCAGATGATCTCAGCAAAGAGTGGGAAGAGGCACGGTGGGCACCACGGGCACGACGGGCACGAAGTCGATTCTGGTCATTTTTTTGTGACTTGACATGTGACTCATTGATCCAATTTTGGGGGTGCAATACATTGCAATACATTGCAATACCATATGTTGACTGCCAAATTGCAAACAGTGACATACTGATTGACTGATTGTGGTACCATGATGCTCGAAAAAATATGCGGTGCAAAAACTGCTGCAGCAAACTCGAAGTAGAGTGTTGTGAAGTTGTGATGTGTTGTGTTGATCACAAGTTTTTGTTCCGGATCGAAAAGTCCACAAAACGGGTTGCTTCACTTTCCCGTTGCAGTCGAAGAACAACTCATCAAGCAATGACCAGAAGTGTGACTAATTAAGTTTACTTGAAATTTTCGAGCCAGGCGTGTGAGATTATTACTCGAGGACAAATCCCATTTTTGCTGGAGGCCAAATCCTATTTTTGTATATTTTTGCTGTTTCTGCTACGTGAATCAAAGGCCTCTTGAAGCCGTCCAAAGACCCTGCCAAAATGTCAATGTTCCCTACAGATCCAACAGGTGAGGCGGAAGATCCTTTGGGCGGGCGGTCTGAAGGCAGAAGATCCTTTGGGATCTGTTCTAGTGAAGATGTTCATGCGCAAGTGATACATCATGGCACGCTGTAAGAGAGGGAGAGAGAGGGAGAGAGAGAGGTTGCAAGCGGATAGTTTTGGTACATGTAATCCTGACTCATCAAGGATTCAGAGCAGATAAGCACGAGCCGTTCCCAAAACCCTCGCAAAACCTCCCGTCATCCTCCATGCTTTATCCCATTATATCTAAACGATGAGACCGGGCATGTTGTGCGCCATGTCAGGATTTGCCCCACAGCCGACCAGGGCAGGGCTACACCGGTCTCTCTGCCACGCTTTGGGCAGACTCTTGTCGTCAAGGGCCAGCAGTTCTGTGGTTTCGTGTGCATTTCAAGAATTGTTTTCTGCACTTTGAGCCGAACGATGTGTTTGGTTGTTTTTCCGTCATGATTGTCCTGCCATCAAGCAGTTGTTTCAGAATCTTCTGCCAGTGAATCACTTGGTGGAGACCTTGGTACAACTGCTCCGTGGTTTGCTTTGGCTTCAGGCCTTCCAAACAAATTTGGCATGTCAGACAAAGATAGACAAAGCGCAACTTGCACCAGGGCTCCAGCCGGAAAAATGAGGACCATCAGTATATAGAGCCCAGCAGGGTGTTCATCCATACCGGAAATATCGTGAAACGTTGATCCGCACTGACAGAGATCTTTCAGGGGGGTTGAAACATGTTGAAACATATTGAAACCACTAACCCGAAAATCAGAATAAGATCCTCGTGACTTTTGCACCATGCTGAGCCGATCTTTGTGCCTCCTGAGCAGTTTTTGGCTAGTGGCAGCTGAGCCGGCGACGGCGTTTGAGGAGTGGGGCGGGATTTTGGGTGCTCCAAGTTTGAAAATTTACCTTTCCTTCCAGAGGGGCAGAGGATCACAACTATGTTGGTCCACCCTGTACCCTCTAGAATCTGAACTGGATCACTCTGGAGAAGTGGAACAGTGAACACTTTCCAGTCGCAGGAGTATGGATGTCCAACTTCTGAACTGCACTTTCGTTTAGAGAATGATTTCGTGGTGAGCATTTCTCCCTTTCGACACGCTGACGAAACGAAGTGGGACTCAAAGTGGCTAAGCACCTGGACGCAGAACAACACCAAGTGCCTGAAGAGCCCTGGCCGGTTTCAGAAATAAATAAATACTGTACCTTGTTTGGTAATGGTTGGTATATAAGTTGGTACGGGTTTATATTTTATACAATTGATATATAGTTTGAATATGTTTAAGATTAGTTTGATACTGCTGTGTCTGGTTTTATATTTTTACATTTGTTCCTTCTGTTTCTGAATTTTACTCTTTTGTCGTGGTTTCATACCGAAAGTATCTCTGACACTGACACTGTTCTACTCTGGACGACGATTCGCGGTGCTCAAGGACGGCGTTCTTCCGCCACGGGGTGCTCCTCTTCCGTGGTTTTGAAATTCTGGAGCCCCTGGCGTTTGAAGAGGTGGCACTTTCTCTGGTATCTCAGCCGCCTTTTGAAACATGGAGACGGGCCCGCCCCAATCCAAGTGTCGGACAAACACCACATTTGTTGGTCGGGTCAGCTTCAAGGCTCACATCAGTTTACTCAGGTTCATCCCTTGTGAATTCCACGGATGTTATGGGTATTTGTGGCTGTTGGGAGTGTTGGGATCTAGCACCTAGCGGTCTGAAAATGAGCCTCTAAATCCACTGATGAATCAAGTACTGGTTTCAGCATTTCCCATATTTCCCATGGCAGCCAGTGCCCAGTGTCTGAGGTACCCAACCTAGAGAAGGCATATTTGGGCACGTCTCCTAGGAGTCAAATCAATGGTACCTCCTATGTCTTCACTGCAGCGGATTTCAGTCCACATCGGACAGTGGCTCGCTGTTTCACAGTTGCCAACGGATTGCAACGTTGGATGGATGTTTTCCGAGCCGAACAAGGGTCTTTTTTGGCGATTTTGCCAGCAAAAATGGGGATTCAACCAGCAAACATGGTCAAATCCAGGCTTATTATAAGCTACGATCAAAATTTACCGAAGTGAAGAGTAGTCTGGGTTTCTACTTTTGGAACATTGAACTGAGACTTGCAAAACGAGAAGCCACTCTAGAGAAAACAATGATTTCCTACAAAACGATAAGACATTCTCAAAAAAATAAGGACCAGTTGCCAAATAACACTACAAGTATATAATATAATGATATATAATGCATTATAATTATAATGCATATTATATTACGTATGCATATCCTCAAGATGGATGGTTCAATACAGAACATGACGAATTCTGTGGGTCCGTTCCCATGTGATCCATGCGAAGTGGAACCTGAGAACTCGCCTTTTTCCACAGATCGATCCTTGAATGAAGAAAAACTTTATGATCTCATTATAGAAACACATGTACAAACCATTCTAGAACCAAACGCTAGAAAAATTGATGATGTTCATCTCTACACTCGGAAAAATATGGATTTCCCGATGCTTCTCCCAAAAGGGCCGGACGGCAGATGGGTTTCTGTGTCAGGTGCCGGTTCACATCGAGATGTCCTTCCGTGACAGCCCGCCGGCCACGCAACTCTTCTACGCCCAGCAGGTGGACCAATGGAAAGGCGGCGAAACCCCGTTGAGCTTCGGCAGATTTCACGGTGCTATGGCCATATCCATCCATATTCCATGATATTCCGTAATGGGGAGACAGTTGGAGCAACGAATTGAGTTTCCTAACCATATGATATGTATATACATATATTTAATCATACAGTTATATACACATATTCATATATTTAAGCTTCCATTCTTTAATGATCTTGAATGGGGGTTTTCAGCATTACCCATTTTTCGGACGCTTGAGTCCCTGCGAGCTCCCGGGCGAGTTGGGGTTTTAGTGGAAACTCATCTTCCCCCAAAACATGGCAAAGGAAGGCCCCCCTAGTTACTGGAGTTGGTTTATAACTTTTATAAGCCCATCTAAATATAGTTCTAAGAGTTCTAAGTATCATACACTATTGTTATGGGGCCTCTTCCTGGGTCTATGTTAATATACTGGAGTCTAATCATCCCCTGGACACGCCGAGGACCGATTTCCAGGCTGTTTGGAAGCAGCTCTCATCGGATCCCCAGCTCAGTGCCAGCTTCGCTGGGAAGGCGAGCCGAGCCTGTCTTCTGGGAGAAATCGTGATATCATGATATATCACATATCACATATCTATGCAGGTATATATATATGATATAGTATATATATATATGTATCATATAATATATAATATGATATATATATATGTATATGTCTATACTATACATTGTCATTCCATAATTTCAGTTCCAGGTCTTCCTCCATTTATCCGCCCCACGAAGTTCTCCAACTTTGCAGCCTCCAGATGAAGTACCTCCGCAACCTGGACGACTGCAACTCCACTTCGCTTCTGGATCCGCTGGTTCAGACGCCTGTTTAACAGCATTTTCAGCATGGGAAGATTGGGAAGGCCAGTGGTGAAGTAGCTACACTCTTTTGTCGGTGCCAAGGTAGATCAGAGTGCAGCTGTCGAAGTTGAATTGTATCTTGAAACTTTTGGTCGCACAAATCATGTTTCTACTTTGGTGACCATATCTTCTTGTCTCCGCCTCTCAGGAAATGCTGGCAAAAGATGTTCAAGGACAAGGAGGACGCGCGTGAGAAATGCACCTAGTTGTTCCATAAGTGTTCCATACTCTGCGGAAGGTGCCATTCTGTACTAGTTTCTTTCCTTTGATTGTCAGCTGACAAGCAAACGAGGCACTTCAGGAGAACTTGCTTATCCTCCCAACAAGAACTTGACATGATACAACTGCTAATGCCCGGATCAATGAAATCTGTCGATGAATTAGGGGGCTACCGGGCTCCCCTACATAGTGATAACTCAATATACATCAGTATTCAAACCGGTACCCCATGTTGTTAAACTGGGTGAATCCATGGGCATAAAGACACCCCCACCAGGTGCTGTTTGAATCCAAGGGCACCAACCAAGGTGCGGAAGAAAACTTCAACTGCACCTGGGACTCTTTCAACAGACTGACCATTCGCAATGCGCAGCCCTTCATTCGAGCACACCCAGCAACCCAGCTGCATCCAGCTGCAAAAGTGCGCCTGTGAGGTACGCAAAACCGCTTAGTTTGCCTCTTTTTTCAGAGATGACCTGGGAAAACCATCCAACTTACAAGCAGGGAGCCGGGTTCCTTCGGGTTCCTTGTGCTGCTAGGTCACGGGCGAGCCGATTTGGTACAATCATATCAACGTCTTGCACGGTCAAATGATGCCCAAAGACTATGCGCGCACCGCAAGCCTATGGAGCGGTCTTGCCAAGCTGTGGCCAATGGCGCTCTCTTTCTATTACAGGCTACTTTTCAGTCACTTGGATATGTTCATAGCACGAAAAGATGGTAGATCTAAAATGATCTAAATATCTTCCGTGGGCAAACTGGTTTCCACACTGATGTTTGCTTTTAATAGAGGGGATCTCCATGGCATCCATGGAGCTGAACGGGGTTTACAAGGTTTGCAACGGCCAGATCAAACTGTACACAAACCACTCTAAGAGAGTTGGCTTTAAAATATTTAAAATGAAGCTAGCAGATTAGAGTAAGTAGAGACACTAGGAGATTCTGTTCAGTTTGAGCGCCTCAAGGCTCTGACTCAGCGCAACCGAGGCTTTTTTGGCCTCTTCTTCCCTGAGACAGCAATGGGCTCGACGGTCCTGAAGGAGAATGGCGAAGCTTTTACTACAGAAGAGCTTACAGCCATGAAAGCGGCCATACATCAGCACACTTTTAATCATGCTTCTAGGTCATCTTCATTGGTACTGTTGATTTTTCATGGTGTCTGTTGGGAATCTCTGGTGTCTACGCTACATTATCGAAGAAGATGACTGGGGACAACACCTATGGGAAAAACTATGTTTACCAAAGATGGTTTATGTGAATTCAACAACTCCATATTGTTGGTTAGCGGGATCGCTGGTTTTACCGTATCTTCTTTGATCCATGCTGTTGGTTATATCCTGATTCTACATATATATCTACATATCCTAATATTGTTGATGATAGGTTGTATATCCCCATGATATCCCACATCAAATGGTTGGCAACATCCCGTACTGAGGCTTACAAACGGAGTGACATTGTCATGGTGGACAACCATCGCATTGGGCACGGCCGAGAGATCTACCTCGGCCCCAAGACCTCGCGAATGAAGCATGGCAATCCCAGTTGGGTACCAATGGATAGACACCCACACACACACATGACAGGTGGCTGTTACCCGCGAGTAGATCTGTTGGTCAACTTGAGTGTTTGAACCAGCATGAACCAGCCAACTTTGAGCCAAAAATAATGCTGATAGATGATAGATAAAGACTACGACGGACGTGGACATGGAACAAAAACTATGGAAATATGGCTGTGCCCCGCTGTTTTCCACAATCGCTGCAACACAAACTTGGACCCCTTGAGAGGTGGAACTCATTCCACCCCATGGCTATCCATGGCCATGCCATGGCTGCTCCATCCCGTTTTCCAGGATCTACACCGCTTGGTCAGATCATTATCCTCCCGCCTGGAAGGAGGTCGGGGAGGTCTCCGGCGAATGCTCAAGCGGTGTGAACTGAGCAGTGAAACACTCGTTGAGTGAACCGTTGATCCGTTCATTAAAAATGCAGCTCAACCATTGCATCCAAAATTGCATCCCAAAACGGGGGTTGAACATGCTTTAACCAATGTTTAAGCATTTTAACTTTAACCATCAAAGATATGGGACATGATTGATAAAAGATGCTTGATTGAACTGGCAGCTCAGGGCTATTGATCTCAGCGGCAACGACCAAGTCACGTCACCTTGCTGGACTGGCCATGGGTTGCGTTTGCAAAATTGAAATTAACATATCAACATATCGCAGCGATAAGGAATCCAGTTGTTGCTAACTGGTTGAGCGGTTTGTTCGACCAAGCGTGAAGGGATAATCGGATTTTCGTGATATTTTGAGCCCAACTGCGTCTGATCCATGACAAGCTTTTGCTGCAATGTGTGGGTGAGCAACGTGACAAGCAAAGTCTTGTCCACCATGAAACTGAACCCAGCCTGATCCTCCGGCAAAATCCGAGAGGCACCGTGCCAAGCAGACGACAATATGTAGTAGTAGTTTGGAAGCAAGAATGAAAGGCTACCAATGCTGCAAAGGCGTACTTCCATCTTCTATGTTTTGCTCTTTATGTGGTTTCTTTCGAACGCGCTTGTTTCAATGGACAGAACCGTTCAGCTACTTAGCGCTATAGCTATGGCTGAATCGGAATTAGTAGCTCGCAATTGCAGGAGCTGCATGGGTACTATGTCCCCAAAAAATGAGGGCGAGAATTACGCATTTGTCAGAACAATAATAATATACAACAAAATATTCTTTAAGGGACCTCACTTTTCAAGCCACAACTTTGGGACTTACCCATTTTCGATAGTCGCGCATTATGGGCAACCAGCCCGCAAAGAACCGTTTGTAAAGAGCAGCTTGGCTCTCCAGCTTTTGCGATTGAAATCATCGCTCAGTTGCCGCGGATTCCATGTGGCTTCGTCTGAAAATAGGGACAAATAGGGTATACCACAAATTTATACAAATTTGTATTAATGTTGAGAAACAATATTAGGAATTTTAGGAAACATATTATATTGAGAAAAACCATCAAAATTGTGACATTTTTTATTGGGAAAAAATAGGTTGACCAGTGGATGGTACCATGGGGTAGCGGTCCAATGGGTACCCTGGGACACACCCATATGGTTCTCATCTGTCAAGTGGTATCCAAAATTCTTCTGTGGTGATGACAATATGTCATTGCCATCCAGTCTGTCATAATTTAACGAATCTAATCTAATATTCAACACCCATAAATACCCCACAAATGGTTCCAAATATGTGTAATTAATAAAATCCCCTATTAAACGATATGAAACCATGGTATTTCTGGAGGCTGTTGATTTAATGATTGGGGCCTCAGTGGACTTGAAACCGTGGAGCCAGGGCACTCCTTCAATGATGACAATCATTGCGACCTGACGCCCATGCTGGGGGAGGCTGGATCGATGCAAAAAGTAGATCCTCAACGTCGAGGACAGTGACATGCAATGGAATGGGGAACGGAACGAATAGCTGAATAGCATTGAATAGCTGTAAACAAAAACATCATCACGAATGGAAAAAAAAACCAGGCTATGCTTTGTTTTTTTAAGGCTAAAATCTGAACATTCTGAACATTTTCATCGGTCGCATCCCCCAGAGGTGGCTCACAACCTTCACGGTGGGGAGATTCGCGGCATTGCCATGGGAAATCGCTTAGGCACAGATGGATGGTTTATGGTGGTTTTGGGTGGAGAACCAAAAACATGCCAAAACATCATCGGATGAAGACTTCAATGTTTTTTGGTAAACATGATGTTATTTGAATGCAAATGGAACCCAACTAAGATCAATTAAGCACACAAGGGCCTGATGATGCCTGATGTATCAAGATTATCAAGGCTTTGGTGCGACTGGATGCCTTTCGCTGTAGGTCCTGGCATTGAAATTGCCAGTCTTCCGGACTTGGGACCTGGAGGTTCTTGGAGCAGCTTGGTTCCATCGCATTTCACTTGGGGATACGAGTAGAATGGTGTATTAATATGTGTATATAAATGGATGATACATGAGAAATCCTTGAAACTTGGAGGATTTAAATCTGCGATCACGGCAGGGGCTACATCCCCAGCGGTTGCGCGTAACCGCTGAGGTACTTGCACCAACGGGTGCCACCTGGAACCTCCACAGGACTGGGATTGAATGATCATCGGAATCATCATCACAATACCAATGATTTAACATTATAACATATTATAACATTTATTCGTTGGCCAACCATTGATAATAATAACTATTATCCGATTACGATTGGTTACTGAGAATTGTTGACACTTTTTGACCATTATTATTCATCGATTACTGAATACAAACATAATAATAAATACATGAATATAAACAAAATGAATAAATGAATGAATATATCTATATACAAATATGTAATCCTCCGATTCTGATCCATTATGGGGATTGAATCCGTGCCAGGCATCAGCCGCTGAATTCCTCATGAAACGAACATTGGAGAGTAATTGAAGTTCCATGACGCGCACATTTTCTGGTCTTCAGAATGGACTCCAGGAATCCAATAATTGGTATACTATACCCATGCAACATCTGAGTGTCTCCCAGCATCTCTCCGAAAAAAAGTTGTCCAGTGCCTTTTCGGACAGGATGTCGCTCATGTGCAATTCAGGGCACGCATTGCCTTCAAGTTGGTTTGGGCCCCACCAGATTTCAACAGCTTCGTCTTGGTGGCTGATGGTGCGCCCAAGGGACGATGTTGGACTCATTTTGGTCGCCCAAATGATCCTGTAAAGGGGTGGGGTGATGGGATGTGATGACTCTGGACATATATGAAACACATCATAACACATCTACATGGTTGTGGGTTTGTCGGTCCAAAATTCAGACCCAGTTCGCAAAGAACCAGAGAGATCCAGCCAGGGGGTGAGTATCTGAACCAGGGCCGGCCGACCGGGGTCCGGGGCCAAGGTGCACGGCACAGCGGCCATGTTGAACGAACGCATGATCCATGGAAATGAACTAGGGATGTTTGACCATTTGCGAGTTGTTATAAACATTTATAAAGTACAAAAAAATAGTTAATAACATTTAGTAGCCATGGGTGAGAGAGATATATATATATATAATATATTTTAATATATTATATACAAAATATAATATTATTTGTAATGTAAACAAAATATAATATATAATATATATAATATAATACATCAGAAAATATGATATATGATATAAAATATATAATACATAACACTTATAATATAATATATATAATAGATTATAAACAATATAAATTATGTAAGAAAAATGATGATATAGGATATAAAATATATAATGTAAAATACTTTTTTTTTTTTTTAAAAAATATCTAACATATACTATATAACATGTAATAATATATATATATACATATGATATAATTTAATATACATTAAATATTTTATGTATTAAGTTTTTTTTTAAAAAAAATATATAATATTTAAAATAAAAGATATTATATTTAAGATATTGTACATAACATGTATATATATATATATAACATAATTTTCAATATAATATTTCAACTGTATATAGTATATAATAGATAATAAATGGGCTGACGCCCTGGTGCCGCCGACCCCCTTTCAAGGGTGGAGTTGCGCGCGCGCGGGTCGCGCCCATGGGGGAAGCCTCAGGATGATGAGGCGCAGCGGACCCAGGTGAAATTCGGGATGGGGCGCCAGTATGGCATAATATATATGTATATATATATATATATAACCATAAGTATACATAGTTATATAATCTTACACACATACGAATTTAATGTAATGTGTATGATATAATGTAATGTGATGGAATGTGACGGAATGTATCGCATTGTATGTGTATGTGCATGTGTATGTGCATGTATATGCAACCATGAACACCCAATCTATGCCAATGCTTGTTTGGTCTGCGCATAAGGCCGGGCGAATCCAAAGCAAGCACAACACACCGTGGGGACGGCCGTGTGAGCGGAAAAGTTGGATAGCAACGTATATAACAAGGCTTTAAGGCGTGCTGGAAACGTGCCAGATGGCAGTTTCGAAGCCCAATAGAAAGTTGTGGCGCCTCGGAGGGCCAGACAGGAGCTTCGAAGCCCAACAGAAACAGTTCGTAGGGCCTCGGGAAGTCCCATGGCAAAGCTGCTGGGAAGGTTTTAAGGCTTTTAAGGGGTGCTGGAAACGTGCCAGATGGCAGTTTCGAAGCCCGATAGAAAGTTGTGGAGGCTGGGAAGGGCCAGATAGCAGCTTCGAAGGCCAACAGAAACAGTTCGAGGGGCCTCGGAAGGTCCCATGGCAAAGCTGCTGGGAGGGTTTTAAGGCGTTGAAGGGCTGCTGGAAACGTGCCAGATGGCAGTTTCGAAGCCCAATAGAAACAAGTTGTAGCGCCTCGGAAATGCCAGATAGCAGCTTCGAAGCCCAACAGAAACAGCACATGGCGCCTCGCGAGTCTCATGGCAAAGGTGCTGAGAGGTTTTGCAGGTTTTACGGCGTTGAAGGGCTGCTGGAAAAGGCCAGATGGCAGTTTCGAAACCCAATAGAAATTTGTGGCGCCTCGGAAGGGCGAGATAGCAACTTCGAAGCCCAACAGAAACAGTTCGCGGGGCCTCGGGAAGTCCCATGGCAAAGCTGCTGGGAGGGTTTTAAGGCTTTTAAGGGGTGCTGGAAACGTGCCAGATGGCAGTTTCGAAGCCCACTAGAAACAGGTTGCGGCGCCTCGGAAGTGCCAGAGCTCGCGGCGCCTCGGGAAGTCCCATGGCAAAGCTGCTGGGCGGGTTTTAAGGCTTTTAAAGGGTGCTGGAAACGTGCCAGATGGCAGTTTCGAAGCTGGATAGAAAGTTTTGGCGCCTCGCAAGGGCCAGATAGCAGCTTCGAAGGCCAACAGAAACAGTTCGTGGGGCCTCGGGAAGTCCCATGGCAAAGCTGCTGGGAGGGTTTTAAGGCGTTGAAGGGCTGCTGGAAACATGCCAGATGGCAGTTTCGAAGCCCAATAGAAAGTTGTGGCGCCTCGGAAGTGCCAGATAGCAGCTTCGAAGCCCAACAGAAACAGTTCGTGGGG